TTTGACAGGTATCCTATTATCCAGCAGAGTAAGCTACCACCAATATTCATTTTGGCTAGTTCGTGTAGTATAACGGTTCTGTTTGCAATATCAAATGCAGATTTTAGATCAAGAAAAGTGGTTAAAACTAGTAGAGGTGTGTGCAGTGAGAAAGGTGGAAATACAGTTCTGCACACTTTTACCTTTCATGAACCCATAGAGGTAGGGGAAAGTTAATGTCTGATTCTGTAGTACAGTCTGTTAAGCATCATTCTTTCAAAAGTTTTACAAAGACAACTAGTTAAGGAGATCGGCCTAAATGTATCAGGCTGTTGGGGCTTAGGATAGACACAATGAGACTATTGGTCCAGGAAGTAGGAAGAACGCCTCAATGTAACTGAGATTATACAGTGCCAACAAGGGTTATCAGGCACGTGCCTTAGAGTTCTGAGATTATCATAGGTTTATACCATCCTCTCCAGGAGCAGTTGATCGACCTTTGGTAATGCATTATCTAATTCATACTCGGTAAAGAGGCAATCACTCTCATCAATATTTTGGCTCATAAAATTAATCAGTTTCAACATTTCTTCAGAAGTACTCTCTAAATTTTTCTAATATGATGGTGGAAGGCTTTCATGCCTGGATGTTTTGGACCAGTCATTTATGAGGTCATTTGCTTTTTCAAGAGGAAAGGGATGAGCAACATTGCCAGTCTTTTTCCTGGTTATTTTATTTATACCTTTCCAAGCCAAACTCAAAGGGGTGGACCTATTTAATCCACTAACAAACTGTTCCCATTCCTGTTGCCTAAGTTCTTCCTTTCTATTCCTTGCATTTGTTAGTGCAGCTTGGAACGTTCTGAGAGGTCTGGGGTTCTACATTCACGGTATGCTTTACCAATCCTCCTAGCTGCATGTGTTAGATTGCGCAGCTGTGGATCATTATAGTATTTACATTGGTTTTTATTGTTATTTATAGTGGAGGGTCTTTGTTTCGTATTCCTGCCCACTTGATCTGTGAGAACACTCTCAATAGTGGTAATTAAATCATCATTAAATTTTTGTGTGCCAATGGGCTCGTAATTCTTATACCATTGATCCAAGTGGTTAATAAAGTTGTCTCGTGTTCTGGTTTGAGAATAAGTTTCCTCCTTCTGTATTTAGCTCCTTGATTGCTGGAGATGTGATCAAGATTGACAGTTGTTAGTCTTGGGAAGTGATCAGATAGAAGATCATCAACTATGACAGAGTCATGCATCGTATATGATGTATTAAATCCAAGACATAGATCTAGTATGCCACCATATATGTGAGTAGGCTCAGTAGTGCCCACAATTCGAACATCATGCTCATTTAGCAATCTCACTAGTTTAGTTCCATTGGTGTTTGTAATAGACCCACCAATATTCTTATGTCTAGCATTAAAATCTCCAAGAATGATGGTAGGTTCACTATTGATGCGATCTGGTAAAGCTGGGGCATAGAGATTAAAAATGTTTATGGAAAAATCGCCTGCATATACTTTGACACCATGATACTGCATGTTAACTCGACTCTGCAAGGAAAGGAGTGAATGTGGCAAGTTCTTTCTGACATACATCACACAACAGTTGGTTGACCTTAGGTTATAAGCTGCATATCCAGGCAAGTTTGGTGGAGGTGCTCCATCTTTCAATCTACATTCCTGCAAACAGATGACATCAATATTCTTGGTTGCACTAATATGATGTAAGTCAGGCAACCGCTTCCTAATGGAAGCAATGTTCCATGAAAAGATTTGTAATGTATCCATTGTAGTGAGTTATTACAATCTCTTGCTCATAAGATGGTAAAACTATTATGCTTTGACTGCAGTGTGCAGACACTTAAGAGCAAATAGCATAGTTTGTACGTCTTTATCTTCAGAACCTTTTTTTTAAGCATTTTTCGGCATTTTGGCAGCCAGTTATAAGGCAAGTCTTGAAGGCAAGAGTTATGGGCTTCTTTCTCACAAATTGCTGGAAGCTGAACGGAGATTGCTGCACTTTTGACATCATCACCATGCTCAAGAGCATCATCCTGATTACATATATTTATTAAACTTGTCAGGATCTGTTCAAGATGCTCAATTTTTTTCTGGAAATTTGTTATAATATGAGGAAGGTCAGGCGAATCCAATGCCTCTCCGGAGGATGGCACTTCTGGGTTAGTGCTTCCTTTAACACCTATCACCTTAACAGGTACCATGGTTACATTAGTGTTCTCTGTTTCATCATTCACTGCAGGTAGGTCCTGTGCATCTGACTCATCTCCAATTTCCAGGGAGGTTACCTGTGTGGTGTCCGTCTGACTGTTGTAGTTGTGTGTATTGGGAGAAATGACAAACTCATCCCCATATTAAGGTGTAGCCATAGGTATCTGTAGTGGCAGACCAGTAGTTCCATATGTGCTAGCAGGGAAAGGCTAGCTCCTCCACAGCTGGTGTGTGTGATGGCATTCTGGTAGCACCAGAATTGTTTGCAGTGAGGTGGGGTTCTTGCACACTTTGCAGAGGTTCAGTCTCAGATCTGGCTGTGGTAGACTGGATGGCCCCATCCTCAGTTACCATTAAAGGACTGTTATCAGGTTTACCTCGAAGGTTGGTTGGGTTCTGACTGCAGTCCTTGTGGGAAACTGTAACCCCAACTTCTTTACAGTTAATTTTTGGCTGTCAGGGCCTACTGTGCATTCTCTAGTGGAATGTTTCCCAGCACACTTACCACACCAAGAATGTAGTATTCCACAGTCTACTGCATCATGACCATAGTGCTGGCATTTGTAACACCTACGTTTAGGGGGTAGGTACACTTCGATGTTTAGGAAACGTAAACCATGCACCCAGATATTCCGGGGAGGGGCACAGGACCACCCAACTGGCAATAATTTGGGATTTTCCTTTAAGTTCTGGACAGGAGACTCGCCATCTTGGTTTTGAATTTTGTACAAACGTTGGTGTAATGGGAAGAATTTTTCGTGCTCTAGAGGTTAAAATTGTGTTGACACCTCTCAAATAGGAGGCGAAATTGGTGGATGTGCATTCCTGCATAACTTGAGATATCAGACGACTGGACAAGACAGCTCCAGGAACCTCAGATAAGCTCTCTAGATTTGTGTGTAATTCTGGCCAGCATTATTTTCATAGATTTAGTTAGAGTGAGGTTTTTGAGTATGATACACATTAATCTCCAGTCAAATTGGTGAGTGATATTAAGATATATTTTCCTTCTGTTATGTAAATGTGCATATATATAACCATTTATTATTTTTAATATACAGTCCACAAATTTATATATTTACCAGTATTCCTGGTGTATGTATATTTCATTTAATTAATAGGTCCAGAGCAACTTGTGGTTATGACAGTGGTAGGTATCGAAGGGGGACATTTTTTGCGACCTAGGTGTCCCAAATTCCTACTTGTCTATGTAACATTGATAAATAATAATTATCATTGTTATCATTTACTGTTATGTACATAATTAGTTACATTCAGATCAATGCAATTTTCCACAGCTTTTATCAAACAATTTTTTTTGTTGCTTATCGAGTGCTATAATACAGTTGTTCCAGTAAACCTCATAGCAAGTATTTTCCAATTAATTTTTAAGTACAACTAAGAAATAGTACTTTGTAATAGCTTAGGTAATGAATCCAAATAAAAACTTGCTTCTGAGGATCTGAACTCAATATTAGACAGTTTTCTTATGAACCATTTAGAGAAGTGTTCATTATGCGGCTTTCACTGAGACCCACATAAAGGATCACTTGGACAACGAAATATGGATCCCAGGTTACAACCTATACAGATGTGACAGAGTGAACAGCAAAAGGAAGAGGGTTGGCCTGTACATTGCAGAGTCCATTGTTTGCACAGAACTGCTTAATGCCTCAATGATGTAGTGGAAGTTTTAGCAGTAAAGGTCGAGAACCAAAACCTAGTCATTGTGGTAGTCTACAAGCCTCCGGATGCAACATCCCAGAAATTCCAGGAACAGCTGTTAAAAATTGACCACTGTCTGGAAAATCTTCCTAGAAGGACTAGTACCGAACTTGCACACGAAAATCACTCACTACGAAAGCAAAAGACTTGGCAGACGATGCACCATCCCCCCAATGAAAAGCAGGGGTGTCCACTAGCACGTTAAGAGACCATACAATAAGTGTCAGGGGCCCGAGACTGTTCAACTGCCTCCCAGCACACATAAGGGGGATTACCAACAGACCCCTGGCAGTCTTCAAGCTGGCACTGGACAAGCACCTAAAGTCAGTTCCTGATCAGCCGGGCTGTGGCTCGTACGTTGGTTTGCGTGCAGCCAGCAGCAACAGCCTGGTTGATCAGGCTCTGATCCACCAGGAGGCTTGGTCACAGACTGGGCCGCGGGGGCGTTGACCCCCGGAACTCTCTCCAGGTAAACTCCAGTTATGCGAGTTGTCTGTGTGTGTGTGTTGTTCCAATCACGTTATTGTACATGTTTGTTCTTTGCTGTAAAGCAAGTTTGGGAGGCTTCCGTACGACGGTTAGGGTAGGTTAATCGAGGAATATTAACACAACAATGAAAATATTACATTCAGAGTCACGGTCTCATACTAGCAAAATCAAGTTGTGTCCGCTTGATGTCGCAACGAGAATTCTTTTACAGATCTTTATACCTCACGCAGATTTGAGCTCTCGGTGTCGGGGATAAATGCTGCTCAGATCTGGGCGGAAATATACGGGTGAAGAAGTTCTCCCAGAATAAAAGGAGAAGATAGCATCAATTTGTGCTGGGTTGCTGACCGGCTCTTTGAAATGTTAATGTCTTGATCATATGTTTCTTGGGTGCTATACCTATAACATTTACTGTCACACATCGCTACAGACTACGGGGGCAGTGTTATTATTATTATTTAACTACGTAACTATTTGTTCACTTAAATTTTGAAGCCTAAATATTTTTCCGTGTTGTTAAGAGTGAATATAATCTTATAAAGGTGTTCATGAGATCAATGTGGAGCGTAAACATGGCGTTGTCCAAGTGCTCGTCTGAGGAGACCGTGTACCAAAATGGCAAATTGCTTTGGCCTTGGGAGGAACTTTGGCCGCAGGTGCCGGCATATATTACTCTTTGTAAAGGAACCAGCAAGAAAGAGGAAGAGCCAAGACATCAGCTAAGAAGAGCCCAGACACCAGCGAAAGTCTGCCTTCACCCACGAACTCCCAGTCATCAAGGGCAGACGACATAACAAACTTAGTGAGTTACGCAACTCTTAGTGCTCTGTGGAACTAATTAAACTTAGTGAATGATGGTCCTCTTCACATTCTATGTTATATATAACAGGTGAATGACGGTGGGATAGTCACGCAGGACGATGTAGGCATTACACAAAAAAATGCCCAAGACTTAAATTTTTGTAAGGGAGACAGATAAATGTTACACCACATAAACTCAGCATAACTTTGCACCACATACATTACATGGTCAGCATCGTATATCTGAATAAAGTTTGTAGTTTTGAAGCCCTTTGATGCTGGTAAAGGACTTTAATACAAGGAACAAGAGCTACCTTTGCTTTCCTTGGATCAACCCCGATTGCTTCCCATTTTAAAACTGCTGTATGGTCTCTGGGTTTGGTGCTTCCCAATGAATATAATATAAAAGGCTAGAGTGAGTTACTTATCTTGTTGAGGCTACTAGTAATAATATAACTCAGTTTAAGTTAAAAAGTGCCTAATTAAAGAAGCAGCAGAAAGGAAGAAAACCGATTTTTAAATTCTATAATCTACAGTGACCCTTTTGGGTTTAGCATTTAATTTATTGGTGTTATTAAATTATATAATGTTTTTCTAGTACCTGGAGTATGCTTGGAGAGGGTTTTGGGGGTCAACGCCCCAATGGTCTGGTCTGTCACTAGGCCTCGTAGCAACTAGGGGTCAGATCAACCAGTCCTCGTAGGGAATTAGGGCCAGATCAACCATGTTGTTACTGCTGGCTGCACATAAACCAATGTATGAACCACAGCCCAGCTGGTCAGGTACTGATTTTATGTGCCTGACCAGCATCTTCTTGAAGACAGCCAGCGGTCTATTGGTAATCCTTATTAAGCATACTGGGAGGTAGTTGAAAAGTCTTGAGCCCCTGACGCTTACTGTGTTTTCTCTTAGCATACTCGTGGTGCCCATACTTTTCATTATGGAAATGTTGTATTGCCTGCCGAGTTTTTTGCTTTCAGAGGGAGTGGTTTTTGTGTGCAGATTTGGGATTAGTCCCTCTAGGATTTTCCATGTGTATACAGTGGAACCTTGGTTTTCATCGTTAATTCGTCCCAGAAAGTCTGACGAAAACCAAATTGACGAAAACTGAAGCAATATTTCCCATAAGAAATAATGTAAATTCAATTACTCCGTTTCAGACACCCAAAAGTATTAAAAAAAAATTACATGAGAAATAAATATAAAGGACTGATGAAATGGATAAATGAACATTTAACATCACTTTTACCTTTATTGAAGACTCTTATTGGCGTATGGAAGACGGCGTGGAGAGGGAGAGGGAAGAGAGTTATCTCTTCCACAGTTACTACCACCCTCTACCACAATCACTGCCACCCTCTACCACCATCATTACTAACCTCTACCACCATCACTACTAACCACTACCACCATCACAACCACTACCACCATCACAACCACTACCACCATCACAACCACTACCACCATCACAACCACTACCACCAATCACAACCACTACCACCATCACAACCACTACCACCATCACAACCACTACCGCCTTCTACAGACGAGAAAGAAAGCCAGACTGACTCAGAATGCATGGGATGTTTTGTGTGGGCACAGGCGGATGCGTTTGGTATGGCAGACCACTGTCAACTTGACGAAAACCGAGGTGATGAACAAAAACTGGGACAAAATTTTGATGAAAAAGTCATCGAAAACTGAATTTGATGAAAACCAGGGCAAATGAAAACTGAGGTTCCACTGTATTATCACGTACCTTTCTTGCCTGCATTCCAGAGAGTACAAATCAAAGGACTTCAACCGTTCCTAGTAATTTAGGTGCTTTATCATACTTATACGTGCTGTGAAAGTTCTCTACATTCTCCAGGTCTGCGACTTTTGCCTGCCTTGAAAGGGGCCATTAGTGTACAGTGCTATTCCAGCCTGGAGAAAAACAAACAATTGAAGAGAATCATCATGTGCTTGGCATCCCTAATTTTGAAGGTTCTCATTATCCATCCTAACATTTTCCCCTAGCAGATGTGGTAGGTACATTGTTGTGATCTTTAGAAGTGAGATTCTCTGCCCATTATCACTCCCAGGTCCTTCACATTTTACGCTCAATTGTGTGGTTGGAAATTTTTGCTTTATACTCTGATTCAATTTTAAATTTCCTCGAGTTTTCCATATCAGGGTAATTGAAATTTCTCTAAATTGAATTTCTTATTGTTTTCTGCGGGCCCATGTAAAGATTTGGTTGATGTCCGCTTGGTGTCTTGCAGTTCATAAGTGCAATTTTCAGCTTACTGTCTGCTTTTTCACTGGCTGTAGTTTCTCCACAAAATACTTAATGACTTAGTGATACTGTCTGGTACCTGGAACCCACAGGTTTAAAGAGATTTCCTACTCTTGTAGCTTTGGCCTTGGTGCAGACAAACACGTGAGAAACTAACAAATCTGGGGACATGATGATGCAGGTGAAAAAGTGTCTAATGCAGTTCATTGTGTGTAACTGAGTGGTCCAAAATAAGGGAAAAAAGGAAACAACCATAGGAAATGCATTCGAAATAAAATTTATTTTTTGTATAATCTGATGTTGAACATGAAAATGGCATACATGTTTGTTTAAATAAGATACTAAACAAAGGGAACCCCTATGGAAATAAATCATACAGTATTTGGCATTGTTGGGTTATCCTAGGATAACAGTATTTATCATGCCTGTATGTTTATGTAATAATTTGCAAATATAAAACAGCATTCTGTAAAAAAAAAATTTAAAAATTTAACCTGAATAAAGTTTACTTAATGGTTGAGTGTATGTAGGACCTGCTTGCATTGTCCAGTAGGCCAACACCAGTGTTCTTTTTTTTTTTTTTTTTTTTTTATCACACTGGCCGATTCCCACCAAGGCAGGGTGGCCCGAAAAAGAAAAACTTTCACCATCATTCACTCCATCACTGTCTTGCCAGAAGGGTGCTTTACACTACAGTTTTTAAACTGCAACATTAACACCCCTCCTTCAGAGTGCAGGCACTGTACTGTTCTTTTGTATAGGGGTAAATTTTGGTTTGCTTTGAACCAGGTTACTTTTCTATGTGGAGACATATTTTGTAACTAAGTAATAATACTTTCCTGGCAGGCAGGCATTTTGCTAAGCTGCCAGTATATTTTTTTAATTTGATTTTAATAATATTGATTTTTTCCAGCCTCCATTAGAAAAGGCACAAAGTTTCAAGACTAAAGGAAACAAATACTTCAAAGCTGGGAAATATGCAGATGCCATAAATTGTTACAATGAAGCAATAGAAGCTTGTCCCCCTGAGAGCCAAGTGGACTTGTCCACCTTCTACCAGAATAGAGCTGCAGCATTTGAACAGTTGGTAAGTTGTGCTGTATTGCTAACTATAAATTTAATTTACTGTGGAAAATTAATTTGATTATTGCCCAAGTGGTATAGTTGTGAATGACTGTGTACCTAGGTACAACTCATTCCCAAACCCCTAAAACTCACAAACACTTCCAACTCCCAGACCCATACAACCCATTCCCACATTTACTCTGTGTAACTTGCTCTCATATCTCTTGCCACACCTCTACAAGTCAATCTCACACCTGTATAATTGACTCCCACACTTCCTCCCACAACCTCACAAGTCAGTCCTCACCTATACAACTATCTCCGGTACCTCTACATCTACCTTTCACATCATTCCAACTTATTCCTACCTCTTTTCCACACCCCTGTCACACTTTTAACCCACTCCATTTTGCTTCTGCACCTCTTAAATAGCCTTACAGCTCACTTCCACAGCCCTTCTACTGCAACAACTGAGGTAACCCTCCAACTTACTCTCATGCTTGTTTAAACCTTTGAGGGTCGACAGGCCCTCTCCGAAACTCGTTCTCAGGGTCGGCCAAATTTAAAAAAAAAAAAAATTATTTTCTCTTATGAAAAGATAGAGAATCTTTTCCCGATCATAAAGACACCAAAAGTTTGAAATTTGATAGAAAACTTACGGAATTATGCTCTCGCAAAGTTAGCGGTCTGGGCGAGTTTCCACGGCGATTTTGCCCACTTTGAGCCCCTTTTCGGCCAATTTCACTGAAATAGTCGACAAAAAACATGAATATTTCGCTAGAACTCCATTTTTTTCTATCGAATGGGTGCAAGAAACCACTCATTTATGAAATTCAACTATCCAGTTACAGTGGTCAGAATTTAGCAATTTTGCCAATTTCACACAAATTTCAAAAGATCCCAATTTCCGAATAGGGTCCAGAATAAACAGAAAGACATTCCTGACACTAAAAATGACATTTCCTCTAGTCATTAGTCACGTCTCAAGGCCCCTCTTAAAATTTTTTTTGCTTTCCACTTTGAATTTTATTTTCACAAAAAATATAAGATTTACTGTTATGCAGACTACTGCATTAGTGAAAAAAAAGGGTATAAATATTATTGGCGCACTTGTGAAAGAATATTAGACTCACCAGTTGATGTGTATTGCACGCTTGGCACGATTTGTTTACTTTTGAAGTTTGGTAAAATCGAACATTTCTGCTACTTTGAGCTCAATTTCAAGGCACCTTTCTTTGTAAAACCAGTCAAAATCATTTTCAATTTCTGTAATATGTCTTCCATTCTATAAAATGAGACCAAGAAAACTAGAATACAACAATAAATACCATACGAAAATACACTGCAAAGTCGCTGATTTATTAAAAAAAAATGGTCAAAGTTTTTTTTTTCTCATTATGCACTGTGTGCTGCAGGATTTTTTTTAGACTGTGCACATTGACCACATAGACCCATTCCTTCATATGAAGGCCTACCAGCTTTCTCCCACTAGATTTGAGGCCGCTAGAATTTATGAGTACTAGTACGTCAAAAACCCCTACGCGTAAGATGTACTAGTACGACGAAAACCCTCAAAGGGTTAATTTGTACCTATATTCCGATGTATAACACTGCACTTTGGTATTCACACTCTTTAATGCCCATGCTCCTCTTCACTTTAGAAGATTGGAAAAAAGATTAGAAGGCAGGTAAACAGTTCATTATCTGACTATTGCATTCTGTTGTTACATATGATATGCTGCACTTGGGGCCAGGGGGTTATTAGGCAGGGGATTCATATCTTAGTTATTATAATGCCTATTTGGCAGTGTAAAGAAATTTGTGCATGCAGTTTGCATGGTTATTATTGCAATTAAAAAGTGTGACAAGTGAGTTTATGTAGTATTATGGTAATCATGTGCTGCAAGCAACATTAATTGGATTGGCTAAGTACATGGGACAGTTGTGCTGAATTATGAAAATTTTTTACTATTCTTTTAAATATCACAGAAAAACTGGGAATGTGTTCTTAGAGACTGCACAGCTGCTTTGGAGCTTAATGACCGATATGTGAAGGCGCTGCAGAGAAGAGCAAAAGCCTGTGAGGTATTAAAGGACTTGGAACAAGCATTAGAAGACCTGACTGCTGTGTGTATTATTGAATCATTCCAGAATCAAGCAACACTTGTTAATGTAGATCGTGTGCTGAAAGAATTAGGTAAGTTTACAATCTTTTACAATTCATACTTTGCTGAATACACTTCATTCCTTCCCTGCTTTGTTTGTTCATAGTTGTTTAATAAAGTTCTTTCTCCATAATGTTTAGACTGGCAGTGATAACTTTATGAAGTACTTGTGGCAAGCTGGAGTAATAATTGATTTTCACTTTAAAGAGTGAGAATTCTGCAAGAGTGAGTCGTTTTATTAGGTACAGGTCCCCCATAAGTACAGTTATCGTACATAGTAACATACATGTGAAATTACCTAGGATAACCCATAAAAAAGTTTGTGATTTGGTGGAATAATGCCTGTAAGCCATCAAATATAATAAAAAAGACTTTGTAGCAAAGAGCCATTTACTTACGTTTTACCCAGTAGGTGAAATATATGAAGAGAAGAACAAAAAAACACAATACCCTGACTGGAACAGTACACAAACAAACTGCACACATGAGAGAAAAGAGCACATGACAACATTTCAGTCCATTTACAAGCCACTTGTAAATGGCATAAGTTGGACCAAAATGTTGTCATGGACTTTCATCTCCTGTGTGCAGGTTGTTTGTGTATAAAGAAAAGGTTGTTTGCTGATAATATATATACCTGGAAGGTACTCGAAGGCCTGGTCCCAAATCTACATACTGCCATAACAACATACTGGAGTGACAGATATGGGAGGAAGCGCAAAATAAACCCAGTGAAAAACAAGGGTGCGGTGGGGACAATAAGGTAATACTGTATTAGCATTCCTGGCCCCAGATTATTCAGCATCTTACCAGATGATATCAGAAACACTTGGAGCAAGTGTAGAAGTCTTGAAGAGGAAACTGTACAAGTATCTTCATCAGGTGCCAAATCAACTGGGTTGTAATGGATATTTGGGGCAGCAGGCCTCCAGCAGCAACAGCCTGGTTGACCAAGCTAGCACCAGACAAGCCTGGCTGATGGCCAGGCTCTGGGAGTAGAAAGACTTGAAACTCATCAAAGGTTTATCAAAGGTACAGTTGCAGGAAAAAGTTCCTGGACAGTCTCTCCTTGGCAGAAACACTGTCAGGCAACTCAGATGTAGTAAACAAAGGAGTTCACTCTATTTTCATGATTAAATTAGCACAGCTTGTAACAACAATGGTGACTAATTGACAGAATTAATTGTCGATACTTTCTGTGTATGTAGAAATAGATTTATCTATATAGAAATAGATTTATGAATGCATACATAAGGGGGATTACCAGTGGACAGGAACCTAAAGTCAGTACCTGACCAGCCAGGCTGTGGTTCGTATGTCATTTTGTGTGCGCCCAGCAGTGAATTCCTGGTTGATCAGGCCTTGATCCACTGCGAGGCCTGGTCACAGACTAGGCCACGGGAGCGTTGACCCCCAAAACACACTCTAGGTATACTCCAGGATGTTGGTAGAGTTTTTATTACTACTTTGTGTACATGAAAGCTTGGAGTCTGGTTTTCAGGGGTCACCCCTTGAAAGAAGTGCCTCAACACCAGTGAGGAGCTCTTGATCCAAGGAATCGGACCCTCAAACGTTTCCTTGGATGGAACTTGATTGCTTATAATTTCCCCAGGCACTGTAAAACCCCAATGGATTAAGCAATACAATTGTATTTATGTGCAGTATGGCACAGATTGGATACATTAATACAGTTTAACATTATAATAGGTATAACTAAACTGATTTTTTTTTTTTTTAAAAGCCTGGATGTTAAGAGTAGAACTATCAAACATGGCCACAAGTTTAGCTCATTTTTGATAATCCAATAAGAGTAATTGTAATAACTCCAACTTCATATCAAACTTGTTATATTTTATGGCATAAATTTTTGGCAGGTCGTATGCATGCTAAGGAGGCCATGGAAAAACGTGAGCCTGTGATGCCTTCGAAACACTTTATCAAGACATTCTTCGAGTCTTTTGCAGAGGATCCCATTTTCAACTCGGTAGATAAAGAGAAGGAGGGAGATGTAGATGAGACAGAACATCCTCCTGAGAAAAACACTACTAACAAGTAGGTTATGTAATGTGTGGTTCTAGCAATGGGTAGATTGATTTACCTTGTGCATAATTATTAAATCCCTTCAGAATTCAACTTCCATTAATGCTTCTTGTGTGTAACTACACTCACACTGCAGCACTAAGTAATGGTACTTGTGTGTAACTACACAAGCTGCAGAACCAAGTAATAATGTTTGTGTGTAACTACACCCATGCTGCAGTAGCACCTGATGGTTCTGGTAATTACCTATTTGTATCTTCAGGAACAGGTTATGCTTGTATTGTCTTCACTAATATATTCATTTTTTTTTTTTTTTTTTTTCAACAAGTCGGCCGTCACCCACCAAGGCAGGGTGACCCAAAAAAAAGAAAGAAAATCCCCAAAAAGAAAATACTTTCATCATCATTCAACACTTTCACCACACTCGCACATTATCACTGTTTTTGCAGAGGTGCTCAGAATACAACAGTCTAGAAGCATACACACATAAAGATACACAACATATCCCTCCAAACTGCCAATATCCCAAACCCCTCCTTTAAAGTGCAGGCATTGTACTTCCCATTTCCAGGACTCAAGTCCGACTATATGAAAATAACCGGTTTCCCTGAATCCCTTCACTAAATATTACCCTGCTCACACTCCAACAGAATCGCAGGTCCCAAGTCCCATTCGTCTCCATTCACTCCTATCAACACGCTCACGCACGCTTGCTGGAAGTCCAAGCCCCTTACCCCACAAAACCTCATTTACCCCCTCTCTCACAACCCTTTCGAGGACGACCCCTACCCCCCCTTTCCCTTTCCCCCTATAGATTTATATGCTTTCCATGTCATTCTACTTTGATCCATTCTCTCTAAATGACCAAACCACCTCAACAACCCCTCTTCTGCCCTCTGACTAATACTTTTATTAACTCCACACCTTCTCCTAATTTCCACACTCCGAATTTTCTGCATAATATTTACACCACACATTGCCCTTAAACAGGACATCTCCACTGCCTCCAACCGTCTCCTCGCTGCTGCATTTATATATTTATATATTTATATATTTATATATTCATCACATGTTGAAAAATCTATAGTGGTTGTAGCACTTATTACTTCCTCTTTCAATTTATTCCATTTTTCTACCACTATATGTAAAGCAAAGTTTCCTAGTATCTGTTTGACTCCATTTTTTTCCTAAATTTATATCTGTGGCTTTTTGTTATCCTGTTGAAAGTATTAAAATACTTTTTTTTTTTTTTTTTTTTTTTTTTTTTTAATTCTGTGTCTTTGCACTTCTGGCAAGGAAGCTATTGAATCATTGATGGTGAATGTGCTTCCTTTTTCTTTCTTGGATCATCCTACCTTGATTGGAGGCAACCAGTGTGTTAAAAATGGAAAAACCACTTTTTTTTTTATTTTCTCCTATCAGCTGGAATAGCATGTTTAGGGTTTCTAGTCTTTTATTTTTGTGCATATTTTTTTTAGCTCTGGATTTTTTTTGGTAGGTCTTGTTTTCTCCTTTCTGGTCTGCATGTTGTTTAAGGTCTGGACAACATACATCAGCTGCTTAATCCAATTTTTGCCTTTTATATGTTTAAAATTGCTTTTTCAGCATCTCCATCCATATACTGTACCAGTTGACCATCACTGATCTGGCATCATCAGCATCTGTAGGGTGCTGGATTAGTGATTTTGCCGGATTACAGAGTGGTTAAGTTAGAATATACTTAACCCAAAGGTGATATTTATGCATTGGCGATTTCACCCACTTTATGCCCTATGATTGGCCCATTCTATTGATCCAGTCTATCAAACTCACAGCTATTTCACTAGTATTCCTTCTATTCTGTCGATTGAGTACAAGAAACCGCCCATTTACCTATTTCAAATACTCATAAAGTGGTCAGAAATCGGAATTTGGCCAATTTCACACAAAATTCAAGAGATTCCAATTTCAAAAAGAGTTCAGAATAAACAATGCAGACATTCTTGGCACTAAAATAACATTTTTCTGTTCATTAGTCATGTCTCCAGGCCCCTCTTATGTTACGCTTGCTTTCCATTTTTTATTTATATTCACACAAAAAATAGAAGATTTACTGTTATGCAGACTACTGCATTATTGTAATAATTGTATAAATAATGTCAGCCATTTGTGATTGCGTATTAAACCAGCCAGTTGAACATGGGCAAAAGTCAAACATTTCTGCTATTTTGAGCTCAACTTCAAGGTGTTTTCCTTCATGAAACCAGTCAAAATCATATCTATTTCTGTAATGTATCTTTCATTCTATCAAATGAGACCAAAAAACGAGAATACAACCATAAGAACCATACAAAAGTACGCCGCCAAGTCGCTGTTTTACACCAAAAACACTGTCGCTGCAGGATTTTACACCAAAAGCACTGTGTGCTGCAGGATTTTTTTTACATAGTGCACACTTATCACACAGATGTATTCTCTCGTATGTAGGTCCAGATTTACAGGTCACGCTATGAGTGAGCTGAGCTCATGGCGACCAACAGTGGCTTCGAAGCCACCTTAGCTTTTATGGACAATGTACAGTGTATGTGCTTTACACAGCAAGAAGCATTTCTTTTATTCATTGGAACCATGGCTAGGGCAAAAAATGAGCACGTTATAACAATAAATGGAGAACAAGAAATTGGAATGACTTATGCAGCAGGTAGGGCCACTAAACAGTAGCAGCAAGTTGGGGTGGCAACCCCAGAAATTTGAAATTATGCTAGCCAAAATTAGTGCCGGATCACTGATGGAACCGGATTACTGATTGCCGGATTAGTGATGGCTGACCTTTACAGTATTTGAAAGCTGTTTTTTTAATTGTTAGTTTATCAGTTTAATATATGCATTTCTCAGTTGTATTTATGAGTTGGTGTCTGATTTTTTATTAATAATGACCTCTAGACTAGGTAGTAGGTTGGTAGACAGGAGTCACCCAGGAAGGTACTACCGTCCTGCCAAGCAAGTGTAAAACGGAAACCTGTAATTGTTTTACATGATGGTAGGATTGCTGGTGTCTTTTTTTTTTCTCTCATAAACGTGTAATGTTTCAGGTACATCTTGCTACTTCTGCTTACATTTAGGTCACACTGCACATGCATGTACAAGCGTATACATGTATATACACACCCATCTGGGTTTTCATCTATTTTCCTAATAATTCTTATTCTTCTTTATTTCCTTTTGTCTCCATGGGGAAGTATAAAAGAATTCTTCCTCCGTAAGCCATGCGTGTTGTAAGAGGTGACTAAAATGCTGGGAGCAAGGGGCTTGTAACACATTCTCCCTGCCTCTGTGGGATGCAACCAGCTTGTTGAAAAAAAAGGAAAATGTCTTCTAGATCCCTTTGTATGTTGTTCCAAAAATTTTGTCAAGCAACCTACAAGAGCAGATCAGAAAGGTTTGGTGATCATTATTTTTCTTGACAAAAATACAGCATGGCCATATTAATTATATTGTCCATTGGTTACTTCAAGACCTAATCACCAAGCCTGTTGAGACACTTATCCCATGTACCAGTTTATGCCTTCTGCCTAGAATTCTGTTGGCCAATTACAAAGCCATCAACAAACAGCTGTCATCACATCATGTATTGAAACGCTGTCCCAGGAACTTCTTCAGAGGCGCAAGTAGATGGAAATTGCTGGTGGTGAGATCACGGCTGTATTTGTATTTTTGTCAGGAAATACAGACTCAGACTTTTTGATCTATCATTGTATGTTCTTCATGTGGTCCAGTTTTGTTGTCTCCCATTTCCATTACATGGTATTTATCAACATAAAAGGCTGTCATCCATCTGGAGCTCCATTTGCTCAATTTATATAAATCATCATCTATAGATTTCATCATTTTTTCTATACAGTGGAACCTCTACTTACAAGTTTAATCCATTCCGTGACCTTGTTCGCATCTGGATTTGCTCGTTTACAGAGCCAATTTTCCTCATTTAAATTAATTGATATGAAATTACTGTGTTCCAGTGGAATTCCAGGCATGACAAAACACTTCAATATTTCCCTAATATCAGTTCTGCGGCTTATTTATCTATCACAATTCATCTAATATGACATAATAAACAATATTAATAACAGAAACATGATTTTTTTTTTTTTTTTTTTTTTTTTCAACAAGTCGGCCGTCTCCCACCGAGGCAGGGTGACCCAAAAAAGAAAGAAAATCCCCAAAAAGAAAATACTTTCATCATCATTCAACACTTTCACCACACTCGCACATTATCACTGTTTTTGCAGAGGTGCTCAGAATACAACAGTCTAGAAGCATACACATATAAAGATACACAACATATCCCTCCAAACTGCCAATATCCCAAACCCCTCCTTTAAAGTGCAGGCATTGTACTTCCCATTTCCAGGACTCAAGTCCGACTATATGAAAATAACCGGTTTCCCTGAATCCCTTCACTAAATATTACCCTGCTCACACTCCAACAGATCGTCAGGTCCCAAGTACCATTCGTCTCCATTCACTCCTATCTAACACGCTCACGCACGCTTGCTGGAAATCCAAGCCCCTTTACCCTCCTTTACCACCTCCCCCCAACCCTTTCGAGGACGACCCCTACCCCGCCTTCCTTCCCCTATAGATTTATATGCTTTCCATGTCATTCTACTGTGATCCATTCTTCTAAATGACCAAACCACCTCAACAACCCCTCTTTCTGCCCTCTGACTAATACTTTTATTAACTCCACACCTTCTCCTAATTTCCACACTCCGAATTTTTGCATAATATTTACACCACACATTGCCCTTAGGACAGGACATCTCCGCTGCCTCCAACCGTCTCCTTGCTGCTGCATTTACCACCCAAGCTTCACACCCATATAAGAGTGTTGGTACTACTATACTTTCATACATTCCCTTCTTTGCCTCCATAGATAACGTTTTTGACTCCACATATACCTCAACGCACCACTCACCTTTTTTCCCTCATCAATTCTATGATTAACCTCATCCTTCATAAATCCATCCGCCGACACGTCAACTCCCAAGTATCTGAAAACATTCACTTCTTCCATACTCCTCCTCCCAATTTGATATCCAATTTTTCTTTATCTAAATCATTTGACACCCTCATCACCTTACTCTTTTCTATGTTCACTTTCAACTTTCTACCTTTACACACATTCTCAAACTCATCCACTAACCTTTGCAATTTTTCTTTAGAATCTCCCATAAGCACAGTATCATCAGCAAAAAGTAACTGTGTCAATTCCCATTTTGAATTTGATTCCCCATAATTTAATCCCACCCCTCTCCCAAACACCCTAGCAAATTTTCTTCCTTTACAACCCCATCTATAATATATTAAACAACCATGGTGACATTACACATCCCTGTCTAAGACCTACTTTTACCGGGAAGTAGTCTCCCCTCTCTTCTACACACCCTAACCTGAGCCTCACTATCCTCATAAAAACTCTTTACAGCATTTAATAACTTACCACCTATTCCATATACTTGCAACATCTGCCACATTGCTCCTCTATCCACTCTATCATATGGCTTTTCTAAATCCATAAATGCAATAAAAACTTCCCTACCTTTATCTAAATACTGTTCACATATATGCTCAATGTAAACACTTGATCTACACATCCCCTACCCACTCTGAAGCCTCCCTGCTCATCCGCAATCCTACATTCTGTCTTACCTCTAATTCTTTCAATAATAACCCTACCGTATACTTTTCCTGGTATACTCAGTAAACTTATTCCTCTATAATTTTTACAATCTCTTTTGTCCCCTTTCCCTTTATATAAAGGGACTATACATGCTCTCCGCCAATCCCTAGGTACCTTCCCCTCTTTCATACATTTATTAAACAAAAGTACCAACCACTCCAACACTATATCCCCCCTTGCTTTTAACATTTCTGTCATGATCCCATCAGTTCCAGCTGCTGTACCCCCTTTCATTCTACGTAATGCCTAACGTACCTCCACCACACATACATTCTGCTCTTCTTCACTCCTAAAAGATGGTATACCTCCCTGGCCAGTGCATGAAATTACCGCCTCCCTTTCTTCCTCAACATTTAAAAGTTCCTCAAAATATTCTCCCCAAACTACCTAATACCTCCCTCTCCCCATCTACTAACTCCCCTACTCTGTTTTTAACTGACAAATCCATACTTTCCCTAGGCTTTCTTAACTTGTTTAACTCCCAAAATTTTTTTTATTTTCATTAAAATTTCTTGACAGTGCCTCTCCCACTCTTTCATCTGCTCTCCTTTTTGCACTCTCTCACACTCTCTTCACCTTTCTTTTACTCTCCATTACTCTGCTCTTCTTATAAACACTTCTGCTTTGTAAAAACCTCTCGTAAGCTACCTTTTTTCTCTTTTATCACACCCTTTACTTCATCATTCCACCAATCACTCCTCTTTCCTCCTGCCCCCCCCTCCTATAAACCACAAACTTCTGCCCCACATTCTAATACTGCATTTTTAAAACTATTCCAACCCTCTTCAACCCCCCCCCCCCCCCCCCCACTCATCTTTGCACTAGCCCACCTTTCTGCCAATAGTCGCTTATATCTCGCCCGAACTTGCTCCTCCCTTAGTTTATACACTTTTACCTCCCTCTTGTTGTTGCCACCTTCCTCTTTACCCATCTACCTCTTACTCTAACTGTAGCTACAACTAAATAATGATCCGATATATCAGTTGCCTCTCTATAAACATGTACATCCTGGAGCCTACCCATCAACCTTTTATCCACCAATACATAATCTAACAAACTACTTTCATTTCGTGCTACATCATACCTTGTATATTTATTTATCCTCTTTTTCATAAAATATGTATTACTTATTACCAAATTTCTTTCTACACATAGCTCAATTAAAGGCTCCCCATTTACATTTACCCCTGGCACCCCAAATTTACCTACTACTCCCTCCATAACATTTTTACCCACTTTAGCATTGAAATCCCCAACCACCATTACTCTCACACTTGATTCAAAACTCCTCATGCATTCACTCAACATTTCCCAGAATCTCTCTCTCCTCTACACTTCTCTCTTCTCCAGGTGCATACACGCTTACTATAACCCACTTTTCACATCCAATCTTTATTTTACTCAACATAATCCTTGAATTTATACATTTGTAGTCCCTCTTTTCCTGCCATAGCTTATCCTTCAACATTATTGCTACTCCTTCTTTAGCTCTAACTCTATTTGAAACTCCTGACCTAATCCCATTTATTCCTCTCCGTTGAAACTCTCCCACCCCCTTCAGCTTTGTTTCACTTAAAGCCAGGACATCCAGCTTCTTCTCATTCATAACATCCACAATCATCTCTTTCTTATCATCTGCACAACATCCACGCACATTCAGACTTCCCACTTTGACAATTTTCTTCTTCTTATTCTTTTTAGTAATCTTTACAGGAAAAGGGGTTACTGTATATGTATATATTTATTTATTTATTTATTTTGCACAAGATTTTTACATTTAAGAAGTTCATAGAATTTTTCTGTTTCTTCTGGTAAGTCATTTATATAAATTGAAAACACTATAAGGGCAAGTACAGATCTTATTGTTCCATACTGTTAACATTTCCTCAAGACGACATTTTTCCTCTTATCACTTTGCATTCTCTGCTCAACGAGAAAGTCTATTATTCCTTCTGTTTTGAAACTTCCAAAATTAGTCTCAGATGGGAACTCTATCAAAACCTTTCTTAAAACTAAATATCTACAATTTCCTCATCCACTTATTCTTGAAAAATTTGTACATTTTATAATTGGTTATACAATAATTTCCAGTCCAAAGGCCAAATTATTTACCAGTTAGTAGGTCAGTAGGATTTTGTGTGTGACTACAACTCCAGTGCAGCACCATGTAATGATTCTTCTGTGTATGAAGTTTTTGTTCATTATGGTTTCCATCATGTTTGTACTCAGTGAGTTACATTCTTTCATGCTCAGTGAAGTACAGTTTTTGTACTTTTAATAATTGTATTTTGTATTTTTAATAATTGTTTAATTTTTTATACATTTTTTAAATTATGACTTCTATTTCTAAATTTTGAAGTAGGATGGTTCATGGATCATCTAGCAGAATTACTTGGTAAATGTTGACAAAAACATTGCCTTCTCTGGAACCTCATCTTTTCAAGAGCAAATAGCAACCTTAACATACTTATTGAAGAATTACAATTGTTAGTCTGTCTGCTTTACGTCACACACAAACTAAAGTCCCCTCTCTTACCCCTGTACAACCAACTAAAGCATTTGTGAATGTAATTCTTGGGAAAAATATTATTAATTTCCCTTGTTCTTTTCTTTACATAAAGACATGAAACTTGCTAACATATTTACATAATTATCATATTGCCGACAGATCACTAAATAAATGCTTATTGTTTGTGATTTATACTAAAAACATTTTTGGGGGGGGAAACATTTTATGCAATAGAATATTGAATGAATTTCAAAGAAAAATTTCAAATGAAAATCCTTAAACTAATATTTTTCTGCCAGTGGTTACTTGAAAGCTAGACAACATTTGCAAGAAGGAAATTATGGAGAGATCATTGAATGTTGCCAGAATGAATTGGCAAACCCTCTAACTCCACATAAAGTGGAATGCTTGTTGCTGCGCGCTACTCTATACCAACTGCGTGGCGAGAGCAAAAAGGCCATGGATGACCTCACTGCCCTCATCAATATTGAAGATAGTCCACTGAAGGTGAGACACTAGAAATTAGTAGGCCTTTAACAACTCATATAGCTTGCGTTTTAAACTTAAAATTTACTTTCAACTTTTTATTCGTTCTGTGTAATTTCAGTGTTTATGCATAATTGTACAAGACCAAAACATGGTTAGTCAAGTGGTCTTTCTGATTAAACATGATATTTGTAAGGCAGTGGTGATGCATGACTCATTTGGGTTTAGTGCTTTCTTTTGAATACAATCATTTTTGTGAGGTAACAATTCAGTAATAAGTTACACTTGTAAATGTTGTAATTGACATTGTATTTTGGTGCTCTTATCATTAGAGTAATATTTAACAGTAAAAAGATTAGATCAAAGGAAAGACTCATAAAAATAATAAATTTAAATATTAGTTGGGACCTGTGGTTTGGCCATTTGACTGATGGAGTACATTACAAACATACTCATACACCTGACATCCATTAGGTTATTTTTGAGTATACAAGTTTTCCTTTATATGTTGAACGTAGGTTGATATGTGCACATACCAGAAAACCATTTGCTCACTTTGAACGTAGGTTGATATGTGCATGTACCAGAAAACCATTTGCTCACTTTGAATAACCTAAATTTTTTTTATTTGCAGATGCTTGTCAATGCTTTGGTAAAACGTGGCTCATTATACATGCAACATGAAAAAGTAGAAGACAGCCTTCGTGATTTTGATCGTGCAGCTCTTCTTGATCCCACCAATTCTGATGTATTCCATCACAGAGGACAGGTATATTCTTACAGCCTTGTGTGGTGTATAAAAGTATGCATTATAATTTTGTAGTAATATTATTTCGTTCTGGGTGTTCCCTTTAAACCTCAGAAAACTTCATATTTTTACCTTATCTGTTACTGATTATATAGAATCTTTATACGATCAGAGAAGTTGGGTCATATCCTCCCAGATCCAGTTATAATCATTATATATCAGTGCTGGAATCTTCCAAGCAAGACTATGATAGTCATAATTAACTACAGTTCATACTTGTTAACTGGAGAACTTGGAAAGAGCTATCATGTCTAAACTCATATTAGAATCTTCACATGGATATTAGGTGACTGAATACCTATATAGTATAGTAATATGTTAATTCTATAGTGAACAATAATACTTGAATGTACTACCAAAGTATTCTAATTATCATTGATAACTGCATTTCTTATGTGTAAAATATTGAGTCAAGCAGAGAAGTTGCAAAGGTTGGAAATATAAACACATATGCAGTATAATGTGATCCTTTACTGACTACGTTTCGCCCACACAGTGGGCTTTTTCAAGTCACAAACAGAACTACCTGGGGTGGAAGGAACGCGAGTATTTATAGTCCGGTTCAGAATGCTGAGGTCAGGTGGAGAATGCTGCATCTGATGATCTACCGGGTGGGGTTATAGAGTCTAAAATCTTGGGTAGCTTGGAAAGGAGATTGGACAAGTTTGTGAGCAGACCAGTAGATCCAGTAGATCCTTCATGTGTTAGCTCAAATCACCGACCAGTATGGTTTAAATAAGTGACCCACTGATCAGATCAGATAGACTGGTCCGAACCCTTGACTGGTCCGAACCCTTGACTGGTCCGAACCCTGGACTGGTTTCAAACGGTTTCGTTGTGCACTACCTAGCAGGTTATTAATAGAATATTCAAGAGGTTGATAGTAGAATTGCAAGGGATTATGTATACCCCTGCAGAGGGTGGAAGCTTGTCCTGTCTATCACTGGTAATGTCCTTGATGGTCGTGGTTGTGGAGGTAGATACTTGAAATGAGGTATTGGAAAAGATGTTGGAAACGTGTTTGGCAATGGAGTTGGTGGGGAGGACTATGTATCTCTTCTCGGCAGTGTCTTCTCTGGGTGTGTTGAAGATGTTTAATGCCCGTCGTCTGCAGTCTCTGATGAAGTGACGAGGATAGTGGAGTTTAGAAAATACTTGTTCAATCATCGTGCATTCTTCTTCAAGAAACTCATTGCTGCAGATTCTGAGTGCACGCAGGAAGAAGCCTATAATTACACCACGTTTGGTTTTGGTGTCGTGGTGAGAGTAAAAGTGGAGAAGATCGTTTTGGTTGGTGGGTTTTCGATAGACTTTAAAACGAAGTTCGTGGTCAGCTTTGCAAAGCAGAACATCAAGGAAAGGAAGAGTGTTGTCGACTTCTTCTTCAAGTGTGAACTGGATTGAAGGCTCGACCTGGTTGAGCTTGTCTTGGAGAGCTTTAACATTGAGACATCCTGTTATAATGGGAGACAGCAAGTGAGGTTAAGAAAATTGCTCAAGTTTGAGCATTATGAACCTCGAGTGACACGTAGTTCCAATGAAAGTTTGTTCTGCATATTGTGTCTTTATACCTCTTTCTGTCGGCATTATACTCATACGTCTCTATAAACAATAGCTAATTCCTATGTTTCATTTTATATCCCTCAAAATAGCAGCATAGGTTAGTAGCTTTGGTATTTTTCTTGTGTTATTTTGATGTGTTATAGTCCTGGCAAACACATTGGTTTTTATAAAAAAAAAACCTGTTCTTCAAAATTATGTTTTAAATACGGAGATTCATTAGTTTCATTATTCATCAAGATAATTTGTCTTAGATTCTTCTTTTCCAGGAGGATTTGTTTTTTTTGTCATGGAGGCTCAGTTATTGTTTTTGATCTCCGTTCTCTGTCTAAATACTGATAGTAATTATTAACCCGTAAACGGTCCAAGCAGATCTACGTTCACGTGTAGTGCTACAAAAGTAGATCCAAGTTTTTTTACATATTTTCAAATATAACACCAAAAAAAAAGTAGATCAAAGTTTTTTTACACATTTTCAAATGTAGAAAAACAAAAAGATCTACTTTTTTTACATACTTTCAAATGTTGAAAAAACGTATATATATGTTTGGACCGTTTACAGGTTAAAAGTGGCTAATGTATTTTACCTACTTTTGACATGAAGAGTTTATGGGCTCCATAAAACTATTTTGTTTATATGCCATAGCGTTACTTTCACAAGCAAATGTTTCATTTTCTGATTACTACTTTACCATGAGAGGGTTTTCATAAGCTCATTTCTTTCATCATATTTTTTGATAAGTCATTAGCTCAGATCATTGATTATCACCTTGTTTTATGATGAATCATGAGCTGCTCTTAATGTCTTGCCCCTAAAACAATATTCAGGTTATGTTAATTTATTAATAATTTATTGATAAATATAGAAATTTTGTCTATTCCAGATACATTTACTAATAGGTAAAGTTGATGCAGCAATGTCAGACTTCAAGACAGCTGTGGAGCTAAATTCAAACTTCCCAATTGCTTTTGTCCAACGATGCTACACAGACTACAGGTATTGACATAATTATGTGTGTATTCCAGAAATACATGTATGGACCAATCTTTTCTTATTTTAAATGTCATATATTGATATATTGGCCCAGTAAGTTTGCTTCCACACCTTCATATTTACCCTAGAACATACACGTACATCCCTACGGCTATTTTTTGGTTTGCCCATTTTCTTTATTGCATGTATAGGCATTCTTTTTTATATATATTAAGGGAGTTACAAATATGGTAAGACAATTTCAAATGTGTGTAGATTGGGAGCATAATACATTTGAAACTTTATTTCTGTATAGTGCATGCATTACCACTGTATCAAAAGTACATATTGAAATCATTATATCAGAAGTGCTCTCCATCTGTCATTTTTTCATTTTTAAATATTTTTAATTTTTGGCATGTATTAGAAAATGAGAGCAGTTTGGTGCAGCAGCCATGGATGCTTTTGCTATACACCTCTGCACCACCCACATCTTGCCTCTTGCATAATCATTGACTCTGAGTCAGTCTAATAACCAAAGCAATTATGGATACATGTGCCTGGGTCTATAAAAGTGATTTGAATTACAATAATTTTTTTAACTTATGCTGATATGGTCTGGCAGATGAAGTGAACCATAGAATATATGATGGGACAAAGGTGGGCGCTGTGTTGAATTATCTGTGGAAAGAAAGTTTATATTATAAAGGGAAAAAAGGGAATGTACCAGAGTATAGTTGTACATTATGGGTGCGAAGCATAGGCTTTCAGTGCTGCAGCAAAAAGGAGACTAGAGACAGCAGAGATGTCATGTTTGAGAGCACTGTGTGATGTGAATATCATGCATAGAATCTAGAGTATAGAAATTAAAAGACAGTGTGGGGTGCAAAGGGTATATAATTCAGAAAGCTGAAGAGGGGTTGAAGTTGTTTGAGCATGTAGAGAGAATGATCAGGGATAGGTTGACAAAGAGGATGTACAAGACTGGGGTAGAAGGTAGGGGTTGTCCCAGGAATGGTTGGAAAGAGGGAGTACAAAAGACTGAGTTTTAAGGGCTTGAGCATCCAGCAGGTTTGTGTGAATGTATTAGATGGGAGTGAATGGAAACCAGGTAGTTTTTAATGGACATGCTGTTCGTGAGCATGATAACTTTTAATGGAGGGATTTAGGGAAACTGGTTAGCCAGACTTTGAGTCCTGGAGGTGAGAAAGATAGTGCCTGCACTCTGAAAGTGAGATGGGGATGTTGAAGTTAGATGGGCTATCTGATTGTGATGTCAGCACATTTCTGGAAAGATTGGCAAGTAAGTGAATGTTGGTCAATGTGTTTTCTTTGGGTCACACTGCTTTGGCAGTAGTTAAAATGTTTTCTCTGGAAAGTAATTGTGCATTTGTTGTGGATGCTGATGCCTCTGGTAAGCAAGAGTCATGTACAATGTAAATCCTGTAAAAGGGACTACAACCTCTGCACTTGTAGTTTAACAATTAATAAAAAGTTGGAGAGTGGAGTAAGTGCGGTAAAACCTTGGTATAACTGACCTCTATAAAATGGATATTAGATAAAACTAGACAAAAAAAAAAAAAAAAACTGGCCAGACCCCAGGCTTGGCAAATCTGTTTCTTCGTGTCTGGTAAAATTACCATTGCATGATGTCCATTCTGGCTGTACCATTGATAAATCAGATTCACTTCATCACAGGTTTGTCTGGTCTGACCTGCATTTAGGACCTGTCTCTTTTCATTGTTTCTGGGCAGTGGGGCCAGTTATTGTCAGCCCATGTCAGTTTGTTATTGTCTGTGCGTGTGCTTGCATACAATCATCATCTGATCTTCAATTTTCTCTGGATTTAAAAGTATGTATTGTTACTTTATTGAAGTATTGTGTTATTAACAATGGACTCTAAAGCAAGTGATGGTGCCAAGAAGCGTGTGATCTCGAGAGTTAAGCAGAAACTTGAATTAATAAGAAGGTACAATCTGGTGTAGCAAATGATGGGTCACATACTACCCAATATCATTTGTAGGGTCTGTAAATGCACCTGTTTGCAATATAAGAACTCTGAATAGGCAAAAGGTTGTCAATAAAGCTTCCATGTAACTATAGTATTGTCTGTTGTTCATCCTGTCTGTATTTTATACCCATAATTTTATCTTGTTGACAGGTATGCTTATCAGCTTGGAGATAAGGCAAAAGTAGAAGAAGTGATGAGAAATTTGAAGAAGCTATTAAAAATTTCCCTAAATGTGTGGAGTGCTATGTGTTGTATGCCCAGGTAATTCTTACTTATATTTTTACTCGCCAGATAATTTCTTTAGGGTTTATATATAGTATCATGTAACTTATTAAATAGAATCATCTCAAAATGCAGAGTTGACAATAGTAAGCATCAAAAGTATAAATGTGCACAATTATGCTTATAGCAGACTATTTGCCTGACACTTTCAAGAAGTGCCAGAACAACTGTGCAAAACATTACCCCTTGCCTTACTGCCAGACATAAAAGATTGGTTAAATGACTGTGAAGTTACATTCTTTAATAACTGGCCTGGTAACTCACCAGGCAATAGAGAACATGTTGAACCTTAATAAGCATAAGCTTCATGAAATGTATGGACATACCCACTATCCCATAACTCTTGACCGCCATTAAATTGTTGTGCGAGGGTACTGACTTTTCTATCCGTCATAATGTAGCCTTATCAGTGCTTAGGAGACCTAAGGAGTGCATCGAGAGGAAGGGTAATCCTATGAAATATTAGTTTATGTGGGTAACCCATACACATTTCAGTATTTTATTTTTATTTTATTTTTTCAACAAACCATCTGTATCCCACCAAGGCAGGGTGGCCCAAAAAGAGAAATGAAAGGTTCTCTTTTTAAACTTAGGAATATATGCAGAAGGGGTTACTAGCCCCTTGCACCCGGCATTTTAGTCATCTCTTACGACACGCATGACTTATGGGGAAGAATTCTGTTCCATTCCCCCAGGGATATAAGCTGAAATAAACAAGAACAAGAACTAGGAAGAAAATAGAAAAAGACCCAGAGGGGGGTTTTGTATATACATGTACATGAATGTGTAGTATGACCCAAGTTTAAGTAGAAGTATCAAGACATACTTGAAACCTAGCATGTTTGAGACAGAAAAAAGACACCAGCAATCCTACTGTCATGTAAAACAATTACAGGTTTCTGCTTCACAGTCATTTGGCAAGACAGTAGTACCTCCCTGGGCAGTTGTTGCCTACCAACCACCTACCTAGGTATTTTATTTTTGTAATTATTTTGTAGTGGGTATTCTCATTTTCTCCTTTCTTTCAACAAAACAGCCATATCCCACCAAGGCAGGGTAACCCAAAAAGAGAAACAAAAGTTTCTCTTTTTAAATTTAGTAATTTATACAGGAGAAGGGATTACTAGCCCCTTGCTCCCAGCATTTAAGTCGCCTCTTACAACACGCATGGCTTACGGAGGAAGAATTCTGTTCCACTTCCCCATGGAGATAAGAGGAAATAAACAAGAACAAGAACTAGAAAGAAAATAGCAGAAAACCCAGAGGGGTGTGTGTGTGTATATATGCTTATACATGTATGTATAGTGTGACCTAAGTGTAAGTAGAAGTAGCAAGACGTACCTGAAATCTTGCACGTTTATGAGACAGAAAAAAGGACACCAGCAATTCTACCATCACGTAAAACAATTACAGGCTTTCGTTTGACACTCGTTTGGCAGGATGGTAGTACCTCCCTGGGTGGTTGCTGTCTACCAACCTACTACCTAGAATTCTCATTTTCTATGTGAATTATTTATGCATGTGCATATTTATGATGCCTGTTGTAGTTACATTAATTAATTAGCACTCTGTTAGTACAAACAAAACAGTGCTAAACCCACAAGGGTCATACAGCACTGCAATTAGGGCTAAAATTGTTGCATTTCAAGATAACAAGGACTTTCAATATTTTAATTTGAATCATTGTATTTTCAAGGTTTTTCTCTATATACTTTTACATTCATTTGAATTATATAGTGCAGGTAATGGTATTTAGATAAATATTATCCTTCAGAATGCAATTTAGAGTGAATTTTATTATTGTTTTCAGTGTAATATTGTTTTATTCACACAAGAAGTTGTGGTCACTGTTTCATATGTCATCTTTCCTTAGGTTCTCTGTGATCAGGGTGAACATGAACGAGCAGATAGTTTTTATGTTAAAGCTCTGGAGGTGGATCCTGAAAATCCTACTACATTAGTTCACCGTGCCCTCCTCATACTCCAGTGGAAAGGCGACCTAGCGCAGGCGAGATCTTACATTACACAAGCTCTTGAAATTGATGACAAATGTGAACTGGCATATGAGAATCTGGCCACAATTGAAGTTCAGACGTAAGTAGTTTTGGTGATGTTTGCATCCTGGTAGGATTTGTTGTCACTTCAGTGTTGATGTGTACATCCTAAATGCACAAGTTTTCAGGGAAATAATGTATAGATTCAGGGAAAAATTGACAAGTCAGGGGACATTTTTTTTTCAATAAACTGGCTGTTTCCCACCAAGGCAGTGACAAAAAAAAGAAAAATAAAACTTTCACCATCATTCATACTATCACTGTCTTTGCAGAGGTGCACAGATATAAATTATTATATCTATCTGTCTGTCTACCTCCATCTATCTATATTTTTTTTAACAGGTCAGCTGTCTCCCACTGAGGTAGGGTGGCCGCAATTTATTCATTCTAGACTATATATCATATTTCTATGTTATTAATATTGTTTATTATGTCATATTAGATGAATTGTGCTAGATAAATAAGCCGTAGAGCTGATATTAGTGTCATGTTGAAGGAATATCTTTTCCTGTCTCCCAACACAATTCCTAACATACACCAGAAACAGACCTCTCTGGAACACTTTTTTGAGCGACAGGGGTCCTCCATCCTCTTCCCTCCTCCCATCTTCCATACATCACCATATCTTCAATAAAAGTAAGTGTGATGTTATTATTGTTTTATTCTTCATGTATCATTGTTTTCTGTGTAGGTAAATGTATATTTCATGCAGAAAGCATTTTTTTTAATACTTTTGGGTGTCTGAAACGGATTAATTGGATTTCCATTATTTCTTATGGGGAAAATTAATTCGGAATAAGTCAGATTCGAGATAAGTCACTTTCTCTGGAACGGATTAATTACATAATCCGGGGGTCTGCTGTATATTTTTAAATGTTTATACAGTAGTGTACTGTATATTGAAATAAACAAAATAGAGGAAATCAGCTCTAATATACATTATTTAGGTATGAATACTCGTCAGAGAGCCCGCCGTAAGCCTGAGGCATCAGTAAACAAGTATGTACATTGCTAAGTGAGGAGAGGCTGTATATATACTTGGAGAGCATATAAATCTGTTGGAGAAGGAAGGCAGGGTAGGGGCCGTCCCCGAAAAGGTTGGAGGGAGGGAGGAAAGGAAGTTTTGTGGGTGAGGGGCTTGGACTTCCAGCAAGCATGAGTGAGCGTGTTAGATAGGAGTGAATGGAGACGAATGGTTTTTGGGACCTGACGAGCTGTTGGAGTGCAAGCAGGGTAATATTTTGTGAAGGATTCAGGGAAACCAGTTAGCCGGACTAGAGTCCTGGAAATGGGAAGTACAATGCCTGCACTTTAAAGGAGGGGTTCAGGATATTGGCAGTTTGGAGGGACTTTTAAGCTGTCGTATCTGAGTGCCTCTGCAAAGACAGTGATTATGTACGAGTGATGGTGAAAGTGTTGAATGATGATGAAAGTATTTTTCTTTCTTTTTGGGTCACCCTGCCTTGGTAGGAAACAGCCGATGTGTTAAAAAATGTGTATATGTATATACAGGTCTCCCTCAACATTCACGAGGGTTAGGGGATCAAGAGCCTCGCAAATGTTGAAAAATCGCGAATGTTCGGTGCCCCAATATATTGTAGGGAAAATAATACAATACTGATTCCTTAAATGGATCAATGCCGACATTTAAAGAAATAAAAGGGTTTCGATATTGGCAGTTATGGCTTAATAAGCTGTGTATTACAGTGCCTCGCAAAGACCTACTATTCTGACACACTGGAGGTCAACACTGTGAATGTGATGAAGTTTTTTTTTCTTTTTGGTCATTAAACTACAGTATAAACAGTCGATCTTTATGTGTATATTGGTAATCGGTCTCTCAACATTGATGGGGGTTTGGGATCAAGTGCCTTCTGTTGAAACATGCGAAGTCATTTGTGCACGCTATTGTATTGTATATAATATAATAATATAGTTCCTTAGTTGTGCGAACCAGAACTATCATACAATAGTGAAAACGTCGTAATTGTACTAATACATGATGGTTAGATACTGGTGTTATTTATCCCCTGTCTCATAACCATGAGATTCAGACCTCTACTCCTCCCTTGGTCCACCCACAACATGTCAGCCATCTACACACCCTGTGTGGTGTTTTTTATTTGTTCTCTATTTGCTTATTCTTTTTTAAATTTCTCACTCCATGGGAATGGACTGCATTTTGGAATGCTGTTAAAGACGACGTAATGGAAGGTGACCATCTCCTGTATATCTTGAACAAGTAAAGGAAAACTTTGTGTTTTCCTTGGGGCCTCCCCCTGTAATTGTAAAGAAAATAATAATAATAATAATAAATACGATAGAATTGAAGAAGGAAATTGTACAAAAATACGAGGGTTGAAGCAGTGGTGGAGGAAGTGGTTAACGCATCATCAGTGTGGCTTTGTTTATGCTGGAGTGAGTGTTAGTCTCTGTGCTCTTCCAAACATTTCACAATAATTCATTGTATTTGGTGCTTGTAGATTGAGTGTGACTGGAGTGGTTGAGGCAGTGGTAGAGGCAGTGGGTGAGGCAGTGGGTGAGGCAGTGGTAGAGGCAGTGGGTGAGATATAAGCGACTATTGGCAGAAAGGTGGGCTAGTGCAAAGATGAGTAGTGGGGGGGTTGAAGAGGGATGGAATAGTTTTAAAAATACAGTATTAGAATGTGGGGTAGAAGTTTGTGGTTATAGGAGGGTGGGGGCAGGAGGAAAGAGGAGTGATTGGTGGAATGATAAAGTAAGGGGTGTGATAAAAGAGAAAAAGGTAGCTTATGAGAGGTTTTTACAAATCAGAAGTGTTATAAGAAGAGCAGAGTATATGGAGAGTAAAAGAAAGGTGAAGAGAGTGGTGAGAGTGCAAAAGGAGAGCAGATGATAGAGTGGGAGAGGCACTGTCAAGAAATTTTAATGAAAATAAGAAAAAATGTTGGAGTGAGTTAAACAAGTTAAGAAAGCCTAAGGAAAGTATGGATTTGTCAGTTAAAAACAGAGTAGGGGAGTTAGTAGATGGGGAGAGGGAGGTATTAGATGGCGAGAATATTTTGAGGAACTTTTAAATGTTGAGGAAGAAAGGGAGGCGGTAATTTCATGCACTGGCCAGGGAGGTATACCATCTTTTAGGAGTGAAGAAGAGCAGAATGTAAGTGTGGGGGAGATATGTGAGGCATTACGTAGAATGAAAGGGGGTAAAGCAGCTGGAACTGTTGGGATCATGACAGAAATGTTAAAAGCAGGGGGGATATAGTGTTGGAGTGGTTGGTACTTTTGTTTAATAAATGTATGAAAGAGGGGAAGGTACCTAGGGATTGGCAGAGAGCATGTATAGTCCCTTTATATAAAGGGAAAGGGGACAAAAGAGATTGTAAAAATTATAGAGGAATAAGTTTACTGAGTTTAGGAAAGTAATTGGGTAGGGTTAACTTGAATGCAAAGAGGTAGAAGAATTTAGGATTGGTGTGAGCAGGAGGTTTGGAGTGGGTAAATGTGTAATGAGTTTTAATTGAAAATTTGCGTATTAGAAAAGGGGTTTTTAGTAATTTCATTTTTTTAAAAAAAAGGCATAATGATACAGTGGATGAGGGCAATTTGGCAGTATGTTGCATAGTATTGGAATAGTGTGGTAACAGGTTACTTTTTAAATGCAGTAACAGATTTTTATTTTAGTACAGTGAGGTAAAGGTTAGGGTGGGAACAAGGAGAATAACTTCCGGGAAGAAAGGGAGGTTTTAACAAAAGGGATTGTAAAATATAAAACTATGGGGGGTTGGGGAATGAGAGATAGCATGGTTGAAGAGATGGGGTGTTTAAAAAGTAGTGTAATGTAGGGTGTTCGGGGAGAGGGGTGGGGAAAAAAATGGGAATCAAATTCAAAAGGGGTTGAAAGTTACTTTTTCTGACTGATGATACTGTGCTTATGGGAGATTCTAAAGAAAAATTCCCAAAGGTTAGTGGATGAGTTTGGGAATGTGTGAAAAAGGTAGAAAGTTGAAAGTGAACATAGAAAAGAGTAAGGTGATGAGGGTATAAAATGATTTAGATAAAAAAAAATTTTGGATATCAAATTGGGGAAGAGGAATATGGAAGAAGTGAATGTTTTCAGATACTTGGGAGTTGACTTTGTCGGCGGATGGATTTATGAAGGAGAGGTTAATCATAGAATTGATGAGGAAAAAAGGTGAGTGGTGCATTGAGGTATATGTGGAGTCAAAAAACATTATCTATGGAGGGCAAAAAGAAGGGAATGTATGAAAGTATAGTAGTACCAACACTCTTATATGGATGTGAAGCTTGGGTGGTAAATGCAACAGCGAGGAGACGGTTGGAGGCAGTGGAGATGCCCTGTCTAAGGGCAATGTGTGGTGTAAATATTATGCAGAAAATTTGGAGTGTGGAAATTGGGAAAAGGTGGAGTTAATAAAAGCATTAGTCAGAGGGCAGAAGAGGGGTTGTTGAGGTGGTTTGGTCATTTAGAGAGAAGGATCAAAGTAGAATGACATGGAAAGCATATAAATCTATAGGGAAAGGAAGGAGGGGTAGGGGTCTTTCCTCGAAAGGGTTGGAGAGAGGGGGAAATAGGAGGTTTTGTGGGCGGGGGGCTTGGACTTCCAGCAAGTGTGCGTGAGCGTGTTAGATAGGAGTGAATGGAGACGAATGGTACTTGGGACCTGACGATCTGTTGGAGTGTGAGCAGGGTAATATTTAGTGAAGGGATTCAGGGAAACCGGTTATTTTCATATAGTCGGACTTGAGTCCTGGAAATGGGAAGTACAATGCCTGCACTTTAAAGGAGGGGTTTGGGATATTGGCAGTTTGGAGGGATATGTTGTGTATCTTTATACGTATATGCTTCTAAACTGTTGTATTCTGAGCACCTCTGCAAAAACAGTGATAATTTGTGAGTGTGGTGAAAGTGTTGAATGATGATGAAAGTATTTTCTTTTTGGGGATTTTCTTTCTTTTTTGGGTCACCCTGCCTCGGTGGGAGACAGCCAACTTGTTGAAAAAAAAAAAATATGTTATAAATAATAATAGTACATGTTAATATTAATAACATTTATAATAATAATAATAAATGTTATTCATAATGTACTACATTTATAACATATATGTTAGTAAATATCACTGCCTCAATCACTGCCTCTACCACTGCCTCTATAACTGCCTCAACCACTCCAGTCACACTCAATCTACAAGCACCAAATACAACGAATTATTGTGAAATGTTTGGAAGAGCACGGAGACTAATATGTACTCACTCCAGCATAAACAAAGCCACACTGACGATGCGTCAACCACTTCCTCCACCACTGCTTCAACCCTCGTATTTTTGTACAATTTCCTTCTTCAATTCTATCGTATTTATTATTATTATTATTATTTATTTATTTATTATCACACTGGCCGATTCCCACCAAGGCAGGGTGGCCCGAAAAAGAAAAACTTTCACCATCATTCACTCCATCACTGTATTGCCAGAAGGGTGCTTTACACTACAGTTTTTAAACTGCAACATTAACACCCCTCCTTCAGGAGGGGTGTTAATGTTGCATTATTATATTAATATTATTATTATTATTATTAGCAGTAGCAGAAATGTTTGATTCTTTGCTGTGTTCAAGAGTAAACACATGTCACCTTCCAATACCTGTCTGAATAGCCATTCTAATATGCAGTCATGGATGGGTTTACATTATTTATACTGTACTTTAATAGCTGGCTGCCATTTGCAGGGGTCGGAGGGAGGGTAGTAAGGACTCGTGGCGGTAAACTTAAATATGATTTGGCGGCTGGGAATTTGGTGGTTGTTAATTCGCGGATGTGTGAAGCCCGTGAAAGTTGAAAACGCGAATGTTGAGGGAGACCTGTATATATTCTTTTCTTTCAGCACACTGTCCATCTCCTCCCAAGGTAGAATGATCCAAAAAGAACAAACTTTCATCATCATTCAACAAAAACCATTTGTCTTTATTCACTCCTATCTAACACTCTCACACATGGTTGCTGGAAGTCCAAGCCCCTTGCCCACAAAACCTCTCACCGAGGCAGGGTGACCCAAAAAAAGAAACACTTTCACCATCACTCACACAGTATCATTGTTTTTGTAGATGCACCCAAATATGACAGTTCAGATGTCACTCCAAACTTTCAGTAACCCAAACCCTTCTGTTTAAAGTGCAGGTATTGTACTTCCCACCTCCAGGACTTCAGCTAACCGGTTTCTGTAAATCCTTTCACAAAAAAAAAGCACAAATGCATACTAAATGGTTATAACCATGAGAATAATTTTTAAAGGGGTGGACCAGTAAGCCGGCGGAAGGCCTCGGTCAGATGACCAAAAGCGCCAATGGTGGGCCATCATATAACTAAGACCTGCATCAGGAAACACTTGTCCTGTTTCCTCACAAACCTCCCTAACCTAACCTTCACAAAATATTACCGTGCACACTCCAACAACTCTTCAAATCCCAAAAACCATTCAACTCCACTCATTCTTTTCTAACATACTCACACATACCTGCTGAATGTTCAAGCCCCCTTGAATGCAAAACCTCTTTTTACCCCCATCCTCCAACTTCTCCTAAGGCAACCTCTACCCCAGTAGCAGAAAAAGTAGGGATTTGGGATCAGGGATCATGTTACCATAGCGGTACAGTACAAAATATTTGTGTATGACAACAAATGTTCAAGCATGCTGTTTTAAGAATTAAACGTAAATTTTTAATAACTGTGCTGATTTACTGATTATATTACATTTCAGCGGAAACCTGAAGAGAGGCGTTGAACTATTTGACAAAGCAATTCCATTAGCCAAGACAGAAATGGAAATGGCACATCTTTTCTCTCTCCGTGATGCTGCAGTTGCGCAATTGAAAATTGTTGAAAAGATGGGTATCAATATCCCTAACTTAGGTACCTTGTAATGGGACCAGTAGTGATGCATTTCCTCTACAATAGATGCTGAAAAACAGATGACAATATGAACACTCTCATTATCTTGTGGTAACCAAGTATATGAACTTGAGCATGTGAATGTGTAGCTAAGCATCAGAGATAAGAATATAACATGATAATGTTCATGTTCCCATTGAACATATGAACATAGTCATATGTACACTTCAGCATATGAACTTGTAGCTAAGAAAGATAAGAATATAATATGGTAATGTTCACATTATTTAGAACTAGAACTTTTATTATTGAAGTGGACTACTGGAGGCCCCCAACTTGCAAACAAGTTTTGTTGGTATTCCAACTTGTAAAGGGGGTTCAGTTTTTATAGAAAATGGTAGACGGGATGATTGCTTCACAAGTGTTCATACTGCCATATCAACAGTTGTAAAAATACAGTTGATTCCAAAGTGCCCAGTTTCTAAGTGTGGATGTTTGTAACTTGGGACATTTGAAACCTGGGGACATCCTGTATTTTTCTTGTATAGTGCTTTGAGTAAATGAAGGAAAAATGGAGAAGCTGTTAGATAAATATTCTGCAGTTAGGCAATAACTCATTGCAAAACTGCTCTTATAGAGTAATATTCTTGCATTGTAAATACTTTAAGTTTATCAAGTTTGTTAAAAGTTTAAAACTGACAGATGGTCAAGAAAAAAATTATTAGTTTAGGCTGGTATTATTAGATCAGCCCATGCAGCTTGTGCATCTAAATCTCCCTACAAGAATACAAGTTTTGGATTAGAAAATCACATTGACCTTATAAATTTAGCCAAACATTGCTAAACAGCTTGTTAAGTATTGTCCTACAGATTGGGGCTTTACTACTTCCTACATTCTCTGATAAAGTGATAGACATTATAACAGTATTATATTCTTGTAATATTTTGTTGCATATAAGTAGAATTAGCTGTACATTAGAAAATTAAATTGTGGGCAAATTTTATTAACTTAATGAACATTTGGTATGAATAATTAAAATAACTTAACTATTTCCAATGCACTCATCAGTGACTAAGTACTCATGCTGCATACACTACAGGTGTGCTTGCTCAAACTAAACTAATAAACGTGTGCATTCCACACAAAGGGCAAATGCCAAATCTGAACCAAAACTACTTCACAGCCTAATCAGAAGAAAGCAGCATTTAAAGACCCAGCAAATTGACTGAAGTAGGGAGATCTCATGCAAAATGACTGCTTAAGTCTGTGAAGTGTTGACCAAACTGTTTGAAGAGGTCTCAGAGGAAGATCCTTATGGGTTTAGTGCTTAGTTAGGATGATAAATAATTAATAATTCTCAGTGGAAACCGGGGCAATACCAGAAAGCCAAGGAGACAAGGTACACCAGGTACTGCATGCCATACACACCAGGGGAAGAGATCTTGAATTCTTTTCAATTAGTATGCCAGTGTTATTTGTCTCTGAACCTTTGTATTTTATCCTAGAAAAGAATGAGAATGACTCAGGTTTTTTTATTAAATAAATTGTATTTGTAAGTGACAGTTATAGAAAGTAAACCAGATTCGTGTCAGTGGTTGTTATATAGCTCATTGTACATTTTTTAAGCATTTTGTGTATGGGTTTGAACATTATGAACATGTAAATAAAGATACAAGATATACAATGATAATGAATTACCAAATACTGTAAAGTATCTTTTTTTTTGTATGTTACAAATATGTACTATAAAGAATTATTAATCTTTTGGTCATTTCTAATTCAATATAAAACAGAATCCTCTTAACAATGTGACCTGCCACATTTGTATTTTGGGAAACTTAAATGTGCACATGCCATATTTGTAATGTGGGTTTGAGCTCAGGGTCTGTGCCATAATACTACATGATGAGCTCAACTCACTCAGATCAGTGAGCAGTAAATTTGGGCCTACATATGAGAGAATGGGTCTATGTGGCGAGTGTGCACCATATAAAAAAAATCCTGCTTCGTGCAGTGCATGAGGGAAAAAAAATGACAGATTATTGTCCAGTAAAAGTAGAAGAGTTATTAGATGAGGAGTTGGAGGTATCAGGCAGATGAGAGGGAAAATTTTGAGGAACTGTTAAATGTTGTTGAAGATTCCTTTTAGGAGTGAGGAAGAGCCAGATGTGAGTAGGGGGGAGATGCAAGGCTGTGGGTAGAACGTGCTGTATAATCCTCCGGGTTTAGCGCTTCCCCCTTGATTATAATAATAATGTGGGTAGAACGAAGGGGTAAAGCAGCTGAGACTGATGGGAATATAGTTTTGGAGTGGTTGTTGCTTTTAACAAATGTATGAAAGAGGGGAAGTTACCCAGGGATTAGCAGAGTATGCATAGTTCCTTTGTGTAAAGGCAAAGGGGACAAGAGAGTAAGAATTACAGGGGAATAAGCCAGTTAAGTATACTTGGTAAGGTGTAAGGTAATGCATTAAGAGTAATTTGGAGAGCAGGATTGCAGATAAACAAGAAGGCTTTAGGAAGGATAGGGTATGTGTAGACAAAATGTTTGCAGTGAAGCATATACAGGAACAGTATTTAGATAAGGATAAAGGTTTTCGTTGCATTTATGGATTTGGAAAAGGCATATGATAGGGTGGATAGGAAAGCAATGTGGTAGATGTTGCAAGTGTATAGAATAGGCTTTAGGTTACTGGAAGCAGTTAAGAGCTTTCACAAGGCTAGAGAGGCTCAGGTTAGGGTATATAGGAGAAAGGGAGATTATTTTCCAGTAAAAGTAGACTTTAGATAGGGATGCATGATGTCACCATGGTTGTTTAATATATTTATAAATTTGCATTGTATGATCTCTGGGTTTATCACTACCCAGTAATTGTTATATTCATGGCGAATCAGGTTTGATTTAAGGGTATTAAAGAAAACTTCCTTGGATCAAGAGCCCTTTAGCATTAAGGCAATATTTATTCCTTTAAGTAAAGGAAGTACAAGTATTAAATTAGGAAGTGTTTAACCAACACTTGCTTAATGTCAGAGGGGCTCTTGATTCAAGGACTATATGACTCCTATGGGTTTAGTGCTCTTTCCCATGAATGTAATATCCTCCTATACCTTGGATTGAACCTGATAACCTTCCGTTGCCCAAGGAACTGAGACTTCTGTGGATTTAGTTCCCCGGTGAGTATAATAACGCAGGTATTAAGAGCCTATCAGCAACCAATGCTAAAAACTGTTTCAAGTAATAAGTTTTGTCAAATACTGAGCTTTACACATTTCACGGATTCAATTAATCTAGAAAGCAATTGCATATAATTTTGGTCACTGACACTTTTAAACCAAAAATTTAATTTTCTGTTGGGCTTTATTAAAATATCCTTAGACTTTTCATCAATTTAATTCATATTGACATTTGTTAATTTTATAGAAATAAAAGTGGTATTAGCAACTTTATTTCTTTAATCTGTACAAATGAACTGTTCGAACATTCTCTAAATTTCGAGAACAATTCATAATATATTTACCCAAGACTGAGCTATACAAAACACCTATACTTGGTATCCAACAATGGTGCCCTTGCCAATGCACTCGCCAATGAAGAACCAGCACAATACTTCAATTGCTACCAAAGTGTTGCGTGAAGCATCCTAAAAAAAAAAAAAAAAAAAAAATTAATTAACATTTTCATAATTGCTAATTACTGCAATAACACATACATGGAAAAAATTAACCTTCATGGGTCATTCAGTACAATGCCAAAACTTTTACAGTGTAACAAATGCATGTCTTAAAACTAAAATGTTTTGACATACCTGCAATTCATTTAATAAAAAATGTTGAGCTTTATTTTGAGGGCTGTACAGTGCTTTTACTATGGATAAACTTGCTACTTCAAATGAATTTAAGAATACAAGTGTTGGATGGCAAAGTTTGCTGACAAATATGGTGAAGACAGTACAGGGTGAACCTCTTACAGTGACTACTGACTGGCTTTAAAGCACTGTCTGCAAGCCAAGGATTTTCTGCATATAGTGCCTTGCTACCTTAAGTGTGTAAGTACCAGGGCAAAAGGAGAAATTCAATGTAGGTGCAGTATACCAACTTCAGTTTCAAAATACAGTACTGTCGACAGAGGGTTACGAAACAACTACAACTTATCGAAATGCACACCAAAAGAACTGACTGCAAAAAGCAGAGGTTAGAACCTGTAGATAGAAAATATCTTCAAACCTAGGAATGTATGGGGATGGTGGTTATACAAGACCCTTTTTCACCACAACCACTTGAGGGAAACTGAGGACAAAGGAATGAAATTTACATTTAAAATTTTTTTGGCAAGAAGATAAGAGATTATTCAATGCTGACACAAAATAAAACTACCTGAAATGCAAGAAACTCCAAAGTTAAATAAGAGTAAAAACCTACCTAAACATATACAATACTGTACTCACTAGATATCATTCAATAAAAAAATTTAAATACTTAAAATTCTTTCTAATAAACTTGCAGAGACCATGATCTCTGCAGGTTTATAGGTCATGGGAATGGAAGAATCAGGTTTGCTCCATGGATGGGGAAGACAAATCTAATTCCTCCAATGAAGTCCCTCCTACCAGCTTCATGTCACCCCTCTTGAAGGGCACTGACATTCTTCTGCACTGTACAACAATGGTTCCAAGTCCTCCAATGGAAAGGGCTATAATGCTGGTTTTTCCTTATAATTTAGCATTTTAATTGTAAAATTACAGTGGAACCTCAAAAATAGAACGTTTCGAAAATAGGACCATTTTTTTCGGACAAACTGTGTCCCTATTATCGAACGCGCCCTTATTTTCGGACAGCCGAGTACAGGACCTGTCTGCCGGCCCGCTCTGTTCACGTCCCCACGCAGGCGCCGTGAGCAGTCTAGCTTTGTTTATGCATGAGTGAACACTAACCTGCGCTCTCATTCACACATTTTACGATTATTTTGTTGTGTTTAGTGCTTGTGGGACTGTGAAATAAGCTGCCATGGGCCCAAAGAAACTTGCTAGTGGTACCCCTGTGGTAAAGAAAGTGAGAAACACCATAGATGTGAAGAAGAAAATAATACAGAAGTATGAGAGTGGTGTGAGACTTGTTGAGCTTGCCAGGATGTATGGGAAAAACAAGTCGACCATCGGTTCTATCCTGTCAAAGAAAGAACAAATCAAGGAAGATGATGTTGCGAAAGGTGTTAATATAGGGAGTGGATGAGGTGCCTTCTTCAAAGATTAAGATTTGTGCCAAGTGGAATGATGTCCAAATGTTTGTGCAGAAGTACTACCCTGAGCAAGCTGAAACAAGCCATCTTTGCAACAAGTTCAGTGACAGAACCATGTCCCATTTTAGGGAAATGTTAAAGAGGCACCAGAAACAGAGGACTGTGGACAATTTTGTGAGACGGGTCCAGTGACTCTCAAGCTGGTCCTAGTGGCATTAAAAGACAGAGAAGGGAAGTAATCCCAGAGAGGGCTTTACCTGAAGTCCTCATGGAGGGGAATTCTCCTTCCAAACACTAACCCCAACTCCCTCTCTCCTCCTCCCTATCTTCCAGATGCAATCACCAATCTTCAATAAAGGTAAGTAAAAATGTTATTTTATATGTATTACTATACATAATTAAAAACTATAGTATTTGTTGTATGTAAAACTGTAATTAATCTCTATAAAAATGTATTTTTTGTGTGAATATTTTTGGGTTTCTGAAACGGATTAATTGTATTTCCATTATTTCTTATGGGAAATATTGCTTCGAATTTCAGACTTTTCGAATTTAGAACTAGCTCCTGGAACGGATTAAGTTCGATTTTTGAGGTTCCACTGTATATGCATTTCTCACTACCATTATTCACAATGCTGCCATGTCCCCCTCGTGTGATAGTCTCAAACTCAAATTGCATTACAAATCATCCAGACCTTTGATTCTTCACACTCAGCATTGGTTGCACCACATCTTTGGTATAAAAAAAAAATCATCTTTGCTATAATCTTATATTCTACAGATTCTTGAAGAGTAAGTCACAATATTGTGGCTGGAACAATTAATAAATATTCCGCACTGAAGAGAACAAACCTGTGACAACATTATTGTCCAACCCAGAATGAGGGGAAAGGGGAAATAAGGGAGTACAACATCCAATAAGTCGAAGGAGGCTGATCATACCAAAAAATCTATAGATAGCTCATCAAAGGGCATCCTGCACCATCGAGGATTAGCAAGCTGTGCTGACAGCTAAACAGATTTCCCTGATAATTCAAAAGGATAAATGATCACTCTACTCTTATTTTTTGAATGTCCCACATTCAATAAATACAAAAAAAAAATCCAGTTAACTACTACACATTCTGAATTTCCCATATCACTAACAGTACTTCTACTTAAGATATTAGCCATCCATCCCTTTCACCATGCTAAACTCAATAACCTATAGGTTTAGCCCTTTTTGCAAATATAATAATGTTGGGAAGAAAGAGTAACCCAAGTGAATTTTGACAGGAATCCATTCTTAGAAACATTGTAATCATAAAAAATAATTATTCAGTACACAAGCTCATGAATTTTTTAATTAACTCACTGCAGAGCAGAGAGATGCTCCACAGTAGGTCTGTGAGAGTGTTCAAAACAAGAAAGGCAACCAATGGATAATGTACAGTATACATTATTGTAGCCATTTGTTTTCTTTCTGGTACAGTGATCATTAAGTACAAGAATGGTATTCACATTACAAGAATATCCAGTGTTGACAGCTACATCAGGAATCAGTTATAAAACCACTAGGGAAGAATATGATCAAATACCTTACAAAAACCACTCCTCTAAACATATCATGCATCAAACACCTCAACAATAAATTTTAAAAAATTGGGAGCTGCAAATGTACTGAAAGTGAAAGACAAAGTGCCAACTGAAGAAAAGTTTGTGAGCATTCATGTCTTGGTAAACAATAGTCCAAAGAATTCTGTTCAGGATTTCTTTTCAGGGCTGTGTCTATGGTGTCTGTTCATAAGACACTGAGGATTTTCTTTTTTTAAGGGTACTGTGTATTCAAATCAGCCTCATACAGTGGAAGAACTAAAGGTCAGTATTCAGCCAGCATACAGTAGACAGCATATTACAAGATATTAAAACAAGTGTTTACTGACATGATTTGTTGTGTACACTTACATGAAAACTTCAGTGGTTAAAATTCAACAATTTTTGTAGTTTACTAACATGCATTATCCATGGGTTGCATCTCTTTTTGAACATCCTATATTATACAATGAATATATAGTATGTATATGAGAAAATAAGTACTATTTTGTTTCATTAAATTATTTTAACAAAAAAGATGAACCCTTATTAGTCATTCAATGCTTTGCAATAATTATAGCCAATAAAAAATATCAAGTGAAGCACATTACGTATTAAAATTAATTCATAAAAAAAAAAACTAACCTTCACTGTGAGTTGCTTCCAAGCCCCAGTCTGAGCACTCTTCACTATATTACCAAATCCCTGAGCAACACTCCCAAATTCTGCAGGTGTAGGTGGAACCAGCTCAACTTTGGCATACCGAATGAAAGTATTTAATTTGGGAGTGGCAGCATCAACCGCAGCTACATGAAAAATTTAAAGAATTTTTCATTAAACTAAATAGTTTTATGAAATGGAAAGTTTTCAGTGACAAAGTACTGTATAGAGTTTATAAAAATATAATACAAAATTACAGAACATGAAAAAAGTTGGATTGCAACCACAGTACAGTTTAAAAAAAACAAGGTAATATATTCAGCACAGATTAAAATGGAAGGAGCACTGCTGCAGGCCTACTGGCCCCAGCCAGGCAGGTCCAACTTGCACCCATCCACATCCATTCATGTACCTGTCTGTGTTTTTAAAGCTAAGCCACACAAGGTTTTAGCTTAAATGATGCTATGAGTTTGTTTCACAGCTATTACCAAAGCAATGCTTTCCTATATCCTTTCTGAATCTAATTTTTTCAACTAACATATTCCTGACAGTCCTGTCTTGGTTAGATATTTTTACCACATTAATTATGTTATTTACTTATTTATTTATTCCTGTTTTCCAATTATACACTTCAGTCATACACATGAGGGCCCCACTTATACAGTGGAAGAGGTTTCAGGCTACCACTGTAAGGTGAAAATCACCATAAAGCAACTCAGCCTTTTGCACTTTTAAATACAGTTTAAAACTGTAGTATAAAGCACCCTTCTGGCAAGACAGTGATGGAGTGAATGATGGTGAAAGTTTTTCTTTTTCGGGCCACCCTGCCTTGGTGGGAAACGGCCAGTGTGTTAATAAAAAAAAATGTTTACACTATTATATATTAACTTACCAATAGAACTAGGCAAAAAAAAAAATAAAATGCATATTCAGTACACTCATCACTTACCTTATATTATTTTTGACATTAACATATGGCAAGAGGTGAGTACTATTTATTGAAGGAAGTCAGGAGGAGATGGTTCGGTTTAAAGGCACATGACTAGTTTGATCTTCAATCCACACCAGTAAAATTTTTTCCATGTCAACAATAAGGTTATTACATTTTCTTATAACTTTAGTGTTCACTAGTGTAGCACTTTTAATTTCCTGGACTCTTTCTCCTTAGAGTCCATTTACAGTAAGAGCCTTACAAATCCTCTTTTTATCACAATTACCCTTAGATGCCATCTTAACACAAAAATAGTATATATAATATATGTAATAACTTTAAAACACTTGAAACTTTGGAAACTTTCCAGACAGAATCAAGAGAGACACGGAGCTCACAGCAACACATCCAGGTTCACTCGTAGAAATAAGGATTATTATTATTATTATTACAAAACACCATAGGGAAAGTGCTCATATATGTACATATGGTGTCAGTGTTTTAAGTGGGCGGTCAGATTTTATCTCATACCCGTCCACTGACTGCTGATACGTGTTCATCTGGCATTACACATACATTTGTATGGCTGTGAAGCGTTTTACCCACAATACAAACAGCTTACTTTGTTGCTTACAAGTTGTCTTTGTTGGTACAGTAGAATACACAACAGCAACACTCCCATTCTCTTGCAATATACCCTTTTGAAAGTGAATGACACTACAAATGAAGGCATACATGAAAGGAATGTTTTTCTACAGTTACCTAACCCCCCCCCCCCCAGTAATACTATACACAGTTTCTCTGGTGGTGCTGTACTAGGCCCTAAAATGAACACCCACCAGATGCAAAAAAGTTCCCTATCTGCCAACTTCTTTAAAAAAATACTAAAGAGCACCAAAAACTGATGAACAATCTCCTTAGATTAAGTATTTAAATTTCCAATATATCAATTGCAACCTGTTTATCTAGATCAAATCAGTACTGATACTCTTGTACCTACTATCACCACTATACATTTATCATAACTAAAATTTCATTCCAGTTCTGTATTACCTATTACAAATTTTATGAAATAATGCTAAATAAAAGCTTAATATGCTAAATATTGTAAAAACATGGCACTCCAATGCTCTAAACTCAATTATGTTTGGAAATAGAGCTACAAATATCCAACTAAACATAATGATCAATAGTTCTCCTATTGTAAGACAAACTGAGGAAAATTATATAATCAAGGGGGAAGCGCTAAACTCGTAGGATTATACAGTGTCTGTGGGGGGATGTGGAAAGTATTCAGTATTAATTCAGGGAACTGGAGCACAGATCCAGTTCCCTAGATCAAGAGCCCCTCACCAGCATCAAGGAACCTTCCTTGAGGGGAACTAAGAGAAAATTCTTAGGTCTGCACAGTGAAGTGTAATACCCACATCCAGCACTTAACTAAGGTATCCTAAAGAGTAGGCATCCTCTACAAATTATGTTAATGTGTACCTCAAACAGCAATACTTACGTTGAACTACTCAGTTATCTATCCTTACATCACCTACAGTATTTGTACCTGAGGATGCACTATATCAAATCTCCTAGATAAAATATCTCCATAAAAATCTGCTGTACAAATGATTACCCAGTCCAGTGCCAGACAACACACTCGCCCACTCTTCAAAAACTTAATTAATAAACACACTATGTATTCAAACTACTGTTCCTACTATAGGATAATTCTAATATGTATAAACCCCTCTTTGAAACTTTTCCTTGATAGCTGTAACAGAACACACAGGCATAACACAAGACACAAAAACCTCTGACATCCCATGTGTCTGACTTGACCTGTGTATTATTATTATAATCAAAGAGAAGCACTAAACCTACAAGGGTCATACAGCGCAGAAGACCTGTGTAAAAACTCAGTGCACATAAAATGTAGAGACAGAAAGGGAGATTTTTTTTTTTTATATTTTTAGCTAACACACAAGTGAATACGTATACATAACTCATTTGACCTTATTCCTAGTATATCTCCTTTATAGTACAGTGTAATAATAAGATATTATATCCTTTATAGTGTAGTAATAATGTATTGAAAGGACCCCAATGGAAATATGTCTGAAGCATCGAAAGGTCCCCAATCTGCCAATCAATTCAGAGCTATTAAGTGGCATTTCATCTCCTTAATATAATCTAGATAGCAATACACTACATCAAACAAAACCAGCTTAAATCCAGCTTTGTCTGTTCTTCTTCCAGTCTTTCCTTGTAACCTTTGCAAAGAAATAAACCGTTTTGTTTGTTTTTCAACCTCCATACATAATTGGTAACATATATTATCCCATTTCAGTTGTATTGTGCTCTAATTAACTTACTGTATCTTCATCTCTATTCAATCATTCCACAAAACTGAAGATCATTACAACACTTTAAATACATTAATTCTCTTGTAAATGGTGTTTTGTCATTAGCTACCTTTTTAGTAGTGATTTGCACAGAAGTCCTATAACAGTCTTCGTCTAGTTCTTAAGTAACATGCACTACATAATTAATGGCTTTCTTTTGTGCCTACTATTGTACTAATACATTTAACTACATTTTTTGGAATGGCTCAAGGAAATAAAAATTATTATGTAGCAAGTTTATTTAGGTAAAGGTACACATAATTACATTACCATTATCGACAGGAGTATAATTGAATCAGTTTCACAAAAAAAAATTGTAGAAAATATGAATATATCTATTGTCTTATATAAATTAGATTCACTTATAATTGGCCCATAATGCCTAGGTATAATAGAGGCTCTCTGTATTGCAACCCATTATTGTAAATACATAACCTCAATGTACTATTTACAGACATAAATAAATAAATAAATAACCCATGGTAATTTACACTATATATGAAAATTGTACTTATGTGTACCTGTACCTAAATGAATTTAATTACGAGATAATTAGTTTAAGGCTGCCTAAAATCCTCTGCATACCAGCACATTTCTGCCACCCATTACATACCGTACTTTATTTTATGTTAATTAAAAATTTTAATTTTAATTATTTTCTAAGGCTTAATTTCAATTAATTTTAATGTTGAGTTTGTGGGCAAAACTCGATTTAGTCCATAACTCGATATATATGAGCACTAAACTCGTAGGGATCATAGCGCCTGAGAAATGGGAGACATTGAGGATTGATCCAAGGAAGGGGAGGCTGCAGTTCCTTGGATCAAGAGCCCCTCACCAGCATCAAGGGGACAGAAGAGAAACCGTCAAGACTCACACTTAGCTAAGACCGGGATCCTGGCGACAAGTTTGCTCATCTTAGCGAAGTGAAGCTGCAGGAGGAGGAGAGATGAGTCTTGAGATGAGGCAAGTCTTGAGATGAGGCGAGTATTGAGGAGTAATAATGAGTAGTGTGCCGGTGACTGCTCCTCCTCACTACGCATGCGTCACTTAACACAACTCTTGTACTCACCTACTTGTGGTTGCTGGAGTCGAGGCCTTGCTCCTGGCCCCGCCTTCCTCTGCTGGCCCATAGTAAGTTTATTCAGGTATACACAAATACAGTTACATAGATTATTCAGGTATACACAAATACAGTTACATAGATTATTCAGGTATACACACAGTTACATAGATTATCATACATAGCAGCATGTGTGTAAAGAACCTGGTATAACCTAAACAAGTCAAAGTGACTTATTTCCATTGGGGTCCTTTTAATACCTTATTATTATTCAATAAAGGAGATATATTGGATTAAAATAAATTGAGTTATTTATATTTACATGTTTGTTAGCTAAAATAAAAAAAATCATTCTCCCTTTCTGTCGTTACATTCATTAGACATCTTTTGGCTGTTAGCATTATCATACCTATTCTTAAAGCTATGTATGGATCCTGTCACTATGATTTCGCTGTCAAAGTCATTAGTAAGTTTATCTAGGTACAGGTACACATAAGCACAGTTATCATATATAGTTTAATTTACGTTTGTAAATTACCCAGGATGACCCAAAAATGTCAACTTATTTCCAGTGGGGTCCACCTGACCTAATTGGGAACTTTTTGTTCTTATGTATTTCTATTTACAAAGTAAATTCCAGTTCCTTTTTCTTTCATGGCCTATTATTATTATTATTATTATTATTATTATTATTATTATTATTATTATTATTATTATTATTATTATTATTATTATTATTATTATTATACCTGGAGCAGCAGGCTCGATACTACGTAACAAGTTAGTGGCTCTTAATACACCCAACAGGAAGTTAGTCTCACTCGACACTAAGTGTGGATAACATAAGATATATTGTCTCAGGATTGCAAGTGTCTTACCTACATTATATGACCTTCAAGGTCATACTCTCTACAGTCATAATGTTTAACTCTTGAATTTAAACTAATAACAAAAGTTATTACTATCAATAATAATTTGTCTTTGCGTTAAGTACCCGTGTGGGTTTACCGCTTAGTTTTTTATTGTAATGATGATAATACATTCATAAGAAAAGATTTGTTGGGATATATTTTTCGCCTAGGTAGTTAGTGTTATCCACCCAGGATAACCCTGGGTAGGGAGTGTTATCCACCCAGGATAACCCTGGGTAGGGAGTTTTAACCACCCAGGGTAGGGAGTGTAAGCCGCCCAGGATAACCCTGGGTAGGAAGTTAGTTACCCAGGTTAACCCTGGGTAGGGAGTGTTATCCACCCAGGATAACCCTGGGTAGGGAGTGTTAGCCACCCAGGATAACCCTGGGTAGGAAGTTAATTTATTTATTTATTTATTTAGTAATTTTAGCATACATACAGAGGTACAAAAAATACAGGTAAGAGCAGCATGCCAAAGCCACTTATATGCATAGCATTACGAGCTGGCTTAAAATTAACTTAAGATTAACTAAGCAATGATGAAATCAGTGATAAAACATTATTGTAAACAGATAACTATAAAGCACAAATGAGTATTACAAAGACAGGTCATATGGTTGCATGCATTGCTGTTCATTCAGTCGAATGGAGTATTCTGTTAGTGTATTTTAAAAAATAACAAAGTTAGATTGGGTCCTAGGTTTAACATTTGTGTGATATAATTGTGAGTAACATATAGGATATACAATTTATAAGGTTCAGTTATTCAGTATTTATTTGGTTTTGAGTGAGTAAGTGATCTTTGAGAAGAGACTTGAATTTATAAACAGGTAGTGTTTCTTTTATATTTACAGGTAATGAATTCCAGATTTTAGGGCCTTTTATGTGCATTGAGTTTTTGCATAGTGTGAGATGGACACGAGGAACATCAAAGAGTGATCTGTGCCTTGTGTTATGGTCATGTGTTCTGTTGAGGTTGGCAAGGAGATGTTTGAGGGGAGGGTTAATATCAGAGTTAAGTGTTCTATGTATGTAATAGGTGCAGTAATAAGTATGGATGTTTTGTATGGTGAGTAGGTTGAGTGTTTTGAATATTGGTGGAGTGTGTTGCCTGTAGTGAGAATTTGTTATCATTCTAACTGCAGCCTTTTGTTGGGTAATTAGTGGTCTGAGATGGTTAATTGTTGTTGAGCCCCATGCACAAATTCCATAAGATAAGAGATAGGGGTAAATAAGAGAGTGATATAGGGCCAGGAGGGCTGACTGTGGAACATAGTACCGTATCTTCGATAGTATGCCTACAGTCTTGGAAATTTTCTTAGAATTGTTGTATATGTGTTGAAATTTGAGTATTATCAAGAATTCCTAAGAATTTTCCCTGTAGCTTGTGATAGGTGATTGTTTATCGTTAGTTAAGAGGACATCTGTAATACTGTTCCAAATGAATGAAGTAGGTTTTGTCAATGTTAGTGTAAGTTGTTAGTCCTCATCCAGGTAGATATTTTCTGTAATTCGTGTTTACAGTATGGGTGAGAGAAGACGTATGTAGTGTACAAGTGCAAAAAGTGTGGGTTTGGTAATTGCAGCTTTGGTAGGTCATTTATGTATAGGGAAAGTAAGAGGGCCAAGACCCTGGGTAGGAGTGTTATCCACCCAGGATAACCCTGGGTAGGAGTTTTACCACCCAGGGTAGGAGTTGTAGCCGCCCAGGATAACCTGGGTAGAAGTTAATTCCCGTTAGCCCTGTAAGGAGTGTTTACACCCGATATACCTGGGTAGGAGAGTTTATCCACCCAGATAACCCTGGTAGGGATGTTAGCCGCCCAGGATAACCCTGGGTGGAAGTTAGTTACCCAGGTTAATCCTGGTAGGATGTCATCCCCCAGTTACCTGGGTAGGGAGTTTTAGCCACCCAGGGTAGGGAGTTAGCTACCCCGGTTAACCCTGGGTAGGGAGTGTTATCCACCCAGGATAACCCTGGGTAGGGAGTTTTAACCACCCAGGGTAGGGAGTGTTTGCCGCCCAGGATAACCCTGGGTAGGAAGTTAATTACCCAGGTTAACCCTGGGTAGGGAGTGTTATCCACCCAGGATAACCCTGGGTAGGGAGTGTTATCCACCCAGAATAACCCTGGGTAGTTAGTGTTATCCACCCAGGATAACCCTGGGTAGGGAGTGTTATCCACCCAGGATAACCCTGGGTAGGGAGTGTTATCCACCCAGGATAACCCTGGGTAGGGAGTGTTAGCCGCCCAGGATAACCCTGGGTAGGAAGTTAGTTACCCAGGTTAATCCTGGGTAGGGAGTGTCATCCACCCAGGTTAACCCTGGGTAGGGAGTTTTAGCCACCCAGGGTAGGGAGTTAGCTACCCCGGTTAACCCTGGGTAGGGAGTTTTAACCACCCAGGGTAGGGAGTGTTTGCCGCCCAGGATAACCCTGGGTAGGAAGTTAATTACCCAGGTTAACCCTGGGTAGGGAGTGTTATCCACCCAGGATAACCCTGGGTAGGGAGTGTTATCCACCCAGAATAACCCTGGGTAGTTAGTGTTATCCACCCAGGATAACCCTGGGTAGGGAGTGTTATCCACCCAGGATAACCCTGGGTAGGGAGTGTTATCCACCCAGGATAACCCTGGGTAGGGAGTGTTATCCACCCAGAATAACCCTGGGTAGTTAGTGTTATCCACCCAGGATAACCCTGGGTAGGGAGTGTTATCCACCCACCACAACCCTGGGTAGGGAGAGTTATCCCCCAGGACACCCTGGGTAGGGAGTGTTATCCACCCAGATAACCCTGGGTAGAGTTAGTTTATCCCCAGGATAACCCTGGGTAGGGAGTGTTATCCACCCAGGATAACCCTGGGTAGGGAGTTTTAACCACCCAGGGTAGGGAGTGTAAGCCACCCAGGATAACCCTGGGTAGGAAGTTAGTTACCCAGGTTAACCCTGGGTAGGGAGTGTTATCCACCCAGGATAACCCTGGGTAGGGAGTGTTATCCACCCAGGATAACCCTGGGTAGGGAGTGTTATCCACCCAGGATAACCCTGGGTAGGGAGTGTTATCCACCCAGGATAACCCTGGGTAGGGAGTGTTATCCACCCAGAATAACCCTGGGTAGTTAGTGTTATCCACCCAGGATAACCCTGGGTAGGGAGTGTTATCCACCCAGGATAACCCTGGGTAGGGAGTTTTAACCACCCAGGGTAGGGAGTGTAAGCTGCCCAGGATAACCCTGGGTAGGTAGTTAGTTACCCAGGTTAACCCTGGATAGGGAGTGTTATCCACCCAGGATAACCCTGGGTAGGGAGTGTTAGCCACCCAGGATAACCCTGGGTAGGAAGTTAATTACCCAGGTTAACCCTGGGTAGGGAGTGTTATCCACCCAGGATAACCCTGGGTAGGGAGTTTTAACCACCCAGGGTAGGGAGTGTTAGCCACCCAGGATAACCCTGGGTAGGAAGTTAATTACCCAGGTTAACCCTGGGTAGGGAGTGTTATCCACCCAGGATAACCTGGGTAGGGAGTGTTAGCTACCCAGGATAACCCACAGTAGGGAGTGTTATCCACCTAGTATAACTCAAGAAAGTCATTGTGTCATCGAGGACTGTACCTTATTTCCATTGGTTACTTCGGTTCACAGCTTTTATCGTACGTGAACAGTAATACTGTAGCTAGATATTTACAGGACCCGTAAGAAAGTAAGTTTATTTAGGCACAGGTATGCATAAGTACAATTATCCTACATAGTCTAAATTACCTAGGATAACATGAAAAAGTCAAAGTGACTTATTTCCACTGGGGCCCTTGTAATACACCCCCATTAATTTTTAATTTTGGTGGTCCACTTTTATGGTTACCAGTGTGTGTTATACACTTCGGTATTCTCTACAGAAATTATAAGGCCAAGATTATCTTATTAGTATTATGTATTGTATAAATGATTTAGAGTGGTTTGCATTTCATGGAAAATTTTACATAGTATAAACAAGAATGTCATCAGCATAGCTAATTGTGATATTACTGAGGGTCTCTGTATAGATTCAAGCAAGGCATTGATTAATACATTAAGCAGCACAGGACTTAATACTATATGAGAAGTCAAGTTACTTCTTTAATTTTGTAGATCTGAATCTGGAGTTTATCTGGAGAGAGTTCCGGGGGTCAACGCCCCCGCGGCCCGGTCTGTGACCAGGCCTCCTTAGGTCAGTGTCCCAGGATGCGACCCACACCAGTCGACTAACACCCAGGTACCCATTTTACTGATGGGGAACATAGACAACAGGTGGAAAGAAACACGTCCAATGTTTCTACTCTGGCTGGGAATCGAACCCAGGCCCTCACCGTGTGAAGCGAGAGCGTTAACCACCAGGCCACCAGAGCCCTGATAAGCACAGAAAAGTTTGTTAGTGAGATCAACAAGAGTCTACTGTAAAATTAGACCACCAATATCCATTTTTAGCTAATTTGCACAAAATAACTTCTCTGTTTGCAACATCGAAAGCATTTTTCATGTTAAGAATAGTTGGGCATTTGTGCCTTCTGTCCTCTTGTACAATTAAAAATGTTGCAACACAATTTGCTATGTATGAATCCACTAATATTGGGTGATGTGGTTATTGGTATAATAGTGCTATTGGTCCATGAAGGTAACTAACTTGTATTGTAACTCATATTGTACAGTTGTAACAGTGGGTTACCAGGCACACACTCAGTAATATAATGTCATAGGTGATACCATCCTTTCCTGGTGATGGGAGTACGTATCTTGTTCATATTTTGTATGTAGTGTGTCACACTCGTAATGCTGATTGTTTTGTATAGCATACCGGTAAATTGGACAAGATTTCTCCTATAATAGGACTTCCGAGGTCTCCTTTATATGTAGCTGTAACATACAGAAAAAGTAGCAAGAGGTCTTCATGGAAGACAATGGCATATGTTGGTCCCTCCTCTGCCACTTATCGCTGCATATCTTGTCTTGCTCCTGCACCAGCCATACTCAAGACCACTGATGGAACATTTATTAAACTTCTTGAATGTGTAAGTAAATAAGTAAGTAAATATATATTTAGGCTTTAGATTCGTAACCTAACCTATAAATTTTCATACAGTGTTGATTATGGGCATATATGATGCAAGTTATATATAATTAGCCTAGGATAGCCCAATAAAGTAAAACACTGTTTATTTAACAAAACATAAAAACTCTCTCCTCCCTTTTTGTAGCTTAATTTATTAGATATTCTTTGGCTCTCTTCTTAAATTGTCTTATACAATGACTGAATTTGATATGATCAGGTAACCCATTCCACTTCTTTATTGCTGTGTAGTAGGTGTTTGAGGCCTAGTCACCTGTGGTGGGTACTACAAAATTGTTCCTTTCCATTAGTACCATACTGACTTTGGTTCCTTACTTTGACAAAATTTGCAGCAGGATATTCTGGACACTGACTGTTACCAATTTTGTACAGTATATGTACATAGTTGTGTTTCAGCTGCCCTACCCTATCTGTCACTATCAGCACACATGTGCTCTTAGACCCAGGTCCAGGATGAAACTTGCCATCTTATTTTTTGGAAATCTCTAGTCTCTTTCAGTTCTTTTTTTGTTAGAGAAGAGTACCATGAAGAATAAGAATTTACATAGTTTACATGACAGTGTTTAAACAATAGACACAGGGTTTTGAGTGTCCGAGGAGGTAGGCACTGTTTCTGTTTATAAAGGAATTTTAACCTGGTATTTGCTGTTGTATAAACATTGTATTACATTGTTCAGTGTCAGTTCACTTGACATGCATAGATCAAAGAACATTCTAGATTTTTCATCGACTTCACTGTTAAGATGGGTTCCTTGTTACACACTACAGTACATTAAAATTATTTGCCCTTTTTAGTCAACCTTTTGAGCCAAATAGTATGGCTTCTGTTTATCCCTAAGTGTAGGGACAGTTTGTTATCCATTAAGCATTTACTGCAAGACTAGTGAGGTAATATATTGTTTGAATCTTTACTTGATACTAAGAGAGCACTGTCATCTGCATAAAGGAGTTTGTACTGTAATACTAATGGTCATGTTATTTACATATCACAAAAATAGTAGGGAGTTCAAAATGCTCCCTTGCAGATTTGAAAGTGTGAGCAAGAGGTGTAGGTGACAGGTGTGGTTGTCAGTGGCCAGGTGTGCATGGAGATGTGGATGATGGGTAACTAGGTGGGTGTGTGTGTGTGGTTGGTGGTGTGGACAGTAATAAGGGTAATGAGTGGCTAAGTGATTAGGTATGTGAATGGTGTGTTAGGGTGAAAAGTCGAGTAAGGTGTGGGGTGTTAGGTCATGGCAAAATGGTGTGGGTGAGGGCATGGGGCTGGGCAAGGTGTGGTCTTGAGGTGGTCAGGAATTGTGGCCATGGGGTATGGGTTTAGGTGTAGGCATGTAACACACCCCTAGTATTTACCCATGATTACAATAATAAAATAAACATTTGTAATACTCTTTAGTTTAGTATAATACTGTTTAAGCAAATATTCTGAGTTTTCATAATTTCAGAGATGTTTCTCATATTAAATTTATAGTGAACAAATTTGGAAATTTTTTAATTGAGTACAAAAGCTTCAACTGAGAGAAATTAATGTATTTCCAGTGATAATTATGTGCAGGTTAGTCCCTATATAATACTGGTAAAACTGCAGACAGGTCTAAAACTACATGATCTTTTAAGTTAATGGAAAGACAAATTTCAATATATATTTCTCATACAGAATTAATTCTTTGTCAGTGTGCATGTGGACAAATAATTGACCGGTACGTGGAATGTGAGAAGAGTATTATCTTTATGGATATGATGCTGCAGGAGATCACTGTATACAGACATATTCTCTACAATGCAGACAACTTTGTGAGTTTACTATTCAGTTTTTTAAAAATACTTGTTAAGCCTTTAGTTTTACTGTTTCATATTTAATTATTATATAGGATGGTACAGTATGTGATAAACAATCTTCCTTTTTGTGTATGAGATACATGTATATATTCTGTGAGAATGATGAGATATATATTCTGTGAGAATGAGATATATATTCTGTGAGAATGATGAACAAAGAAAGTACTTACAGTATAAGCATTCCAAGCCTAGTACAGTGTTACAGTACAGTTGATCCCCCAAATTTGCTGAAGGTGGTTTTTTACAGATCTCTGTAAATCAAGAATCTTCAAATATGTACTGTACCCCTAAACTCTGTATATGTTTTTGTTTGGATATTTTTTTTATATTTTTTTTTCAACACGACAGCCGTCTCCCACCAAGGCAGGGTGACCCAACAAAGAAAGAAACACTTTCACCATCATTCACATAATACCAGTCTTTGCATAGGCACCCAGATATGAGAGTTTAGATGTCACTCTAAACAGCCAGTATCCCAAACCCCTCCTTTAAAGTGCAGGCTTTGTACTTCCCACCTCCAGGACTTAAGTCTGGCTAACTGGTTTCCCTGAATCCCTTCACAAAATATTATCCTGCTCACACTTCAACAGCTCATCGTCTCAAAAACCATTCATCTCCATTCACTCCTATCTAATGTGCACACACATGCATGCTGCATGTCCAGGCCCCTTGCACATAAAACCTCTTTTACCCCCTCCCTCCATTGTTTGGATATATATGTATATATTATTTATTTATTGCTGTGCAGTATAACCACAATGAAAAGTAGTACAGTGTTTTATAAACCACTTTCATGATTTCTCACATTATCACAGTACAGCTGTTCCCTGATGATGATGTACATGTAATGTGTTGGATATAAATATTTAATTTTAGTTGTCCAGGTGTAAACCTAGATTTTTTCTGTTAAACTTTGTTTATTATGATGATTTTCTATGGATTCATTTTAAAATACTGAGAGACAATTATTGTGCCAAAATTGCAACATCAAATTAGATAAGAAATTTGTTGGCTTGTCAAGATGATGTCTTTCCTCTAGCATTCAGTAAACATAGGTGCACACTTGTGCATTTTTGTGTTATCACTATCTCATTATTATTATTAAAATCATAACTAAGTGCTAAACCCACTAGGATCATACAGTGCTGCACTATCTCATTAAAAAAATTTTTTTTTAATTCTACAGTGCAATGTTTTCTGTATTTTTACAGAATGAATTACATTTTAGCATTTCCACATAATTATTACTGAATGAATACTCTGAGAGTATGTTCATTATACATAGGCATTCATTTTCAGACACCTCAATTCTACATGAAGCTTGCTGTGTCTCTAGTGCTAAGTGAAGGATATATCAGGTGGACGAACTTTGCTCACAATCTCTCAGCTGGGAATGGAATAAAAAATAATGAAGTTTACTTGTATATAATGTGTTTATTAACTGCTATTGGTAAGCAAATGTCTTTAATTTAGTTAACTATGTTGATAATATTAACTCATGTTTATGATTTAGGTACCTCATAAATAAAAGTGATAAACTAGTTGTAATAAATATAAAATTAATATTAACAAAGAAAACTACTGCAGCATCAGTGATTTAAATAGTAGTAAAAGATATTTCTAAATACACTTAAAGGTTTGTCATCTTCATTTCAGAAATTGGAATATTTGGGATAATAATCACAGTTTATTCCTGGATAAAATTGTCCTACAGGTAAGCACAATTTTGCAACTTTACATTTAATATTGTATATGCTGATTCTACTGAACTGATTTCATTATTAAGATCTTATATGTGGCTAATTATGTCTGTAATCTTTTGACTACTGCCCAGAGAATGGGTATGAGATAGTACATTATAAGCTATCAGATTTTACCAATCATCATAAAAAAGAACTTTAATATACAAGAATGTTGCAACACTAAGAAAACAAATGCCTTCAGTGTACACGTGTGTTAATTTTTAGAACATGGTCATCAATTTACAATGGACTGTTACTGGGCCAGTGTGGACGACTGGCCAACATTGCAGCAATTATATGGTACCAAGGTTCAAGTATTACATTTCAAGGGCTCGTGCTCATATTCATTTTTATCTCCAGCATCCAGAGTACTAGAGGTTAGTCATCTATACTGATGTTTTTATTTAAAAATATTATAATTATTATTATAATCAAAAAAGAAGCGCTAAGCCACAAGGACTATACAGCTTATTTAAAAATAACCATTATATTATTTTTTTTTATAATAAGGGGAGGCACTAAACCCAAAGGGGTCATATAGCACATGGGGGATGGAAGGTAATCAGGTTTGATCCAAGGCCCACTTACCTGATTCAAGATTCAAGAGCCCTTTCACCATCATGGCATGTCATTTGAGGATGGTACCACTCTACTAATCATCTGGGATATAAAATAAATATTGCCTTTACATTAGTACGTATTTGTATTTTCTCTTGCATAGGGCATTTTATTTTTCACATCAGATATTTCTCACCATGGTAGGGTAACACAAAGTTCATATGACTTACCAGTTTGCAACATCTCTAGCTATCCTATGCATTTTGTATTTTTTGGGGAAATAAATATTTGAATCTGATAGGTGCTGTACAAGGGAAACTATTTTATGTCTTTATCATCCGGCTTGCTCACCATAGAGCCCATCAAGGTCAAGCACTACATACACTAACAGCCCCAAAGTTAATGGAGATGTATAGTACATGACCAGTCAGTTAATTTAGGAGCACAAATTTAGGAGCACAACACTAAGCCTCCTATTTTATATCTGGTAAAAGGATAGAGAAATTTGTTGCCCACCAAGGAGCCACAGCTCTTGGGGAAGGCACAGTTTCCAGGCGAGCAGAAACCAGGAGTATTGGTCTTAAGTATACAACTAATATGCACTTAGCAAGTCTCTGCCACCCTAATGTGGGATGCCCCAGTCAGTGTGGCTCTCCAAAGAATAATGAAGACCCTCCTCTCTCTACCAGTTTTAATTCTTAATGCTCACAGAAAACTCTAAACCCATAAGTTGTATGATGCTACTTGGCACCAATAAGGAAAGAGCATTGGTTGAAAGGATGGTAATTGCAGCTGGTGAAGGAAAACCATTGTCAGTTAGAAAAGCAGTGTCTGTAGCAAAGGGGGGACTGTCATAGGTAGTTAGAGTAAGGGTGTTAAAGTCTGTCCCCAGAAGAAATGGTCTGTACACATCAAAATTCCTTCCCCAGATGTTTTTGGAATATCAGTGCTAAACTATACAAGCAATACACTACCAGACTTGTTAGCATGTTTATTCCTGCTCATAAGCAGAAGCTCCACAATTTGAAATGTCTGAGGTGCATGTGGCAACCCATTTATGGAGTTAAGTTAATATACATTAACTATTTCGGCCGTATATATACGCCTTACGATCCAGTGTTTCGGACGTATATATATTCTAATTCTAGCAGCTTCAAATCAAGCAGGAGAAAGCTGGTAGGCCCACATGTGAGAGAATGGGTCTGTGTGCACGGTATAAAAAAAATCCTGCAACATGCATTGCATAATGAGAGAAAAAAAATTCTGTGTGTTTGGATTAAAATGCTGACTTTGAGGGGTATTTTCCTATAGTATTTATGGTTGTATTCTCGTTTTCTTGGTCTCATTTAATAGAATGGAAAACATATTAAAGAAATAGAGATGATTTTGATTAGTTTCACGATGAGAACGACCTTGGAAATTGAGTTCAAAGTAGCGGAAATGTTTGATTTTTACCAATGTTCAAGAGTAAGCACACGTCCAATACACCTCAACTGGGGAGTCTAATATTCTTTCACTAGTGCACTGATATTATTTATACCATTTTTACAATAATGCAGTAGTCGGCATAACAGTAAATCTTCCATTTTTTTTTGTGTGAATAAAAAATCAAAATAGAAAGCAAGAGTAATATAAGAGGGGCCTGGAGATGTGACTAATGAACAGAGGATATGTTATTTTAGTGCCAAGAATGTCTGCATTGTTTATTCTGAACCCTATGTTGAAATTGGCATCTTTTTTAACTTGCGTAAAATTGGCCATATTGCCAATTTCTGACCACTTTATTGGGTAGTTGAAATCGGTAAATGGGCAGTTTCTTGTACTCGATAGAAAAAATGGAGTTCTGAAGAAATAGCTATGAGTTTGGTCAACTGGAACAATGGAATTGGCTGAAAATAGGGCTCAAAGTCAGCGAAATCGCAGATGCGTATATATCGCCGAGATCGCTAACTTTGCGGGAACGTAATTCTGTAAGTTTTCAATAAAATTTCGTACTTTTGGTGTCATTACCATCTGGAAAAATTTCTCTATCATTTCATAAGAATTTTTTTTTTTTTTTCCAAAAAATTTTTTTGACACCAGGAGACACTTCAGGATTTGGGGTTGCGAAGTCCAAGGGTTAAGGTTGCAGTTCACCTATACACCAACATAGAGTACTTTGCCTAAAATAGGCATCAAACTTGGTACATCTACAGATATATGTGCTGTACACTGAGATGCGCATATCATTTCTATCACTTTATGGGCCCCTCAAGGGAAGTTGGAGAGGGGCTCTTGATCAAAGTAATTGGACCTATCCCTTTACTTAAATCGAACCTGTTTGCCTCCCATTACCCAGGCACCATACAACATCTATGAGTTCAATGCTTCCCCAGTTAAAATAACTACCAAGAGTTCCTAGGGCAAACAATGTGTAAAATACAGATGAACTAAGTGAATAATGATTTTAACAGAAAACAGTTATTTTAATACTTTTATTTTACAAATATTATAACATTTGCACTTTGTAAGGTTTGTTCCATTTTACTTTCAGCTGCACTGCGCATAGGGAAAGCTGAGAGCACATTACTTGTATTCACAGCCTTCATCTGCAGCCTTTACTTATCTTATATTCTTCAACCATTAATAATCAGAAGGTATCAACAATATATCTTTTAACTTTATTCTCAGGGACAAATATTTACACATGCGGGCTTATGAACCACATGAATTGTTATATATCAGACTTAAATCAAACATGTATCACTATCAGCTCCTGTCTTAATTACCAGGTGTGGTAACAGTTCAATTATATTATACTACTATTCATAGCAAAATTATTTACAGTAAATAACCAGTAATTAATTCAGGAAGGTGTCATAATATAGAATTTAAAAAAAAAAAAACTTTTATGGATTATTCATCTCTTGAGGGATTATGTTAAGATTATTTTTGTTTTGCAAAAGATGATAGTTTTTACATATAGTAAAACTGGTGCCTCACACCTTTTAAATATGTCATACTACAGTATATTACACCATGCCAATTGTGAAACTAATCAAATATATTTCACATATACACCTGTATCAAAATCACTTCAGACACCATAACACAGAAGGCAAGTGATTGCCAACAGTGTGAGGGAAATGGACGTGAATGCATTCACTTAGGATGCCTTTATTGACATTTCAATTTTTGGGCCTTGATCATTTCAGATATGTACTTGAAAGTGATTAAGTCCCAAGGAACAAAAAGTCTTAAATAAAGGTGTCCTAAGTGAATACATGCATTCATGTCTACTTTCCCTCACGGAAGACATGACCATAATGAAAAAATATTTTATAGTTACCACTCAAAATACTAATTTATGACATGCATTTTTTCCAACTTGCAATATTACAATGCAAATTATTATTATTATTATAATCAAGGGGGAAGCACTAAACCCGGAGGATTATACAGCATTACAATGCAAAATAAACAATACAGAACCCTCATATGTATTTCTCTTGCAGTTTTGAACTGTAATATTGGTACCCTTCTGGCAAGACAGTGATGGAGTGAATGATGGTGAAAGTGTATCTTCTTTTTTAGGTCACCTTACTTTGGTGGGAGACAGCTGAGTTAAAAATAAATATAATGGAAGATTGGATATCAGACCCCTTGTGGATTTAGCACTTAGTTATGATTATTATATTAATAATGAGTATCAGATTGGAAGGAGAGTGTGTGGAGGAGGAAGTAAATGTGCTCAGATATTTGGGAGTGGACTTGTTGGCAAATGGGTCTATGAAAGAGGTGGTGAACCATAGAACTGATGAAGGGAAAAAGGTGACTGGTGCACTGAGGCACCTGTGGAGACACTTAGCCATGGAAGCAAAATGGAGATGTATACGAGTATAGTGGTACCAGTACTCTTATATGGGTGTGAAGCTTGGATTATGAATGCTGCAGTGAGGAGGTTGGAGGTAGTGGAGACGTCACATCTGAGAGTAATGTGGTGTAAATATTAAGCATCGAATTCGTAGTTTAGAGATAAGGAAGTGTAGAGTTGCTAAAAGTATTATTTAAGAGGGTTGAAGTGGTCTGCACATTTAGAATGGATGGAGCAAAATAGGATGACTGTCTTAGAGGGTGTATAAATCTGTAGTAGAGGGAAGGTGGGGTAGGAGTCATACTAGTAAAGGATGGAGGGAGGGGGTAAAAGTTCTGTGAGGGGCTTGAACATCCAGTAGACCTGTGTGAGCATATTAGACAGGAGTGGGGGCAGATGGTTTTTGGGACTTGATGACCTGTTGGAGTGTGAGCAAGATAACATTTTGTGAAGGGATTAAAGGAAACCACTTAGCCAGACTAGAGTCCTGGAGGTGGGTAGTACAGTGCCTGCACTCTGAAGGAGGGGTGGAAATATTTGCAGTTTGGAGGGACATCTGAACTATAGAATCTGCACACCTCTGGCACGACAGTGATAGTGAATGATTTTTCTTTTTTCAGGTCACCCTACCTTGGTGGGAGACTGCCAGTGTTAAAATACACACATATTTGTAAGGCAGAAAAATCCAAGCCACGTACTTGTGACAATTCACTCCTTTTAACCTTATGCAAATGAACATCAAATAATAAATCTAAAAATGCAGACATGAAATTATCTAAGAATAGCAATGGGGAAGAATTTGTTGTAGCAAAGTAAAGAATATCACAGATGTGACTCATAGTTGGGTAAAGGGTGATGCCAAGATACTTTTCCACCATCGGATAAGGATATTCCAAAATTCCTTACAATCTTACAAGATTTGTTACCAGCAATGCATTTATTGTCATTTATTGCCCTTCCCTCTTCCTCTGCCTTTTCCTCTTCCCCTACTACTGCTGTCATCACTACAGCCTCGTCCTTTGCTACTGCCAGCTTGTCCACACTTGACCTTTCCTTTGTTTGCCTGAGATAAAAAACAAATATATATTGCTAAATTACAAAATATTCTAGTATGAGCTAAAACTAACAATTAAATAAAGATAACCACATTTAAAGAAACTGATACCTTATGTCAAAATCACAACCATTACCTTAATCATGCCACTTGCTGAAATATCCTCCTCAACACTCTCATCTTCCTCCTCTTCCTCTTCTAATCCGTATATTTCCTCCACTCCTGTTTTACTTCCTTTTTTCTTCTTACTGATGGTTGGAGTAGCAAACGGAGTCAGGTGACTCACTTTGTTGTAGGTGCGAGTAAAGGCTGCTTTCACCTAAAAAATGCCATTAAAACAACAGGATGCAAAAAAAAAAAAAAAAAAAAATATTTTTATTAAGAGATTATAAATCAGGATAATGAAGACTGCCAGTCCCTCCCTCCAATCTAATATCCAATCTTTCATTACCCTTTGTTACCCTCATCACCTTGCTCTTTCCAATGTACACTTTTAATCTTGTTTTACATACTCTCTCAAATTAGTCCACCAACCTTTGCAACTTCTCTTCAGAATCTCCAAAAGCAAAAAGCAATTCTGACAACTCACACTTTGTATTAGTCTTTATTTTCCAATTCCACACCTCTCCTGAACACCCCAGCATTCACTTCTCTTACAAGATCTATAAATATGTTAAACAACCATGGTAACATCATGTATCCCTGTCTAAGGCCTACTTTTACTGGAAAATAATCTCCTACATACTCTAACTTAAGCCTCACTATCCTCAGTAACCTACCATCTATTCCATACACTTGAAAAATCTGCCACATTGCTCCTCTATCCATCCTATCATAAGCCTTTTCCAAAATTCATAAATGAAACAAAAACTTCCTTACCCTTATCTAAATATTGTTCATTTATATGCCTCAATGTAAACACTTTGTCTACACATCATCTATACAACAGTGGTTTACCTTGCTTTCAACTTTGCTCATAACATCCTTCATGCCTGGCCACTGAGATAACTCCAGAATAGCTTCCAGATCTTCACGTAAGAGGTCATATGATGTCATCCCTTGTACAGCATCAGGAACACCGTCTGCTCCATTCTCAACCAGAGGATTTGTTATTGCATTTCGCAGTGACCCGCAATAGTCCATTCCAACATCCAGCTTACTTCCAGAAATTCTGTGGATTTATAGCCATAAATTAGCCACCTTTTATATTTAAAGTAATCATATATAGGGCATTCAAATAAAATATATTATTATACAATGAAATATTAACATTTGCCTTACAGTTGAATGCACAAACTGCACAAATGAACACAAATTCTACAGCTGAACCTACAAACTGTATTGTTGCACCTATAAATTGCACACTTGAACCCACAAATTATACAGCTGAGCTCAAACTGTACAACTGAACCCACAGATGAGCCCACAAATTCCCAGATGATTTGTGTGCTTCAATTACCCATTGTTTTTCCAGATACTTCTTCCACAATTTTGCTGTGGTTATTTTTTTGGGGGAGGGGTATGAAAGATGAAGTCAAACACAAAAAAGATTAAGGAAAGAAAATGTCGAGTATGGTAAAAAAAAAAAAAAAAAAAAAAAAGGCCAAAATGGGAATGCATCAGTGATACATATACTTTTACATGGTTTATTGAATGCTTGAGTAAGTCAGAAACTGGAGGCACCAGATATGGCATGATGGTATGAAAGGTATAAGTCAGAGAGTGGAGGAGGGGTTATCAAGATATTTTGGTCAATTAAAAAATATGGAGAGGGTGATAAAGGTGCATAAATGTAAGAAGTATGGAAGGTGGTGTAGGGAATGTACAAGGAAGAGTTGGAGGTTGTGAATGAAGTTTTGAGGTTTAGGGACTTTAGCAACTAGCAGGTTACCAATAGTAGCACTAGTCCATCAGTGCTTTGTCTGAGATGGAAAAATAGTGGGAAGAAAACTAAATACAGGTAATACCTATACTCTCACTTGTGAACAATATCATCAAGGTTTCCTTAATGACATTGGCTATACATCTCAGGAACAATGCAATCAATGATCTGTATGCTTCTGACCACCAGAAATAATTCTAACTTCAAAATCCAAGTACATTCAGACAAAATATGACCATATTTTTAAAATTCATAATATTAAATTGCCCAAACTTCTTCAAGAAAAACAACTTGCTTGAGTCTCATGTGCATTTGGAGGTCTTGCATTAAACGGTCAAATTTGTTACGACGGCTATTATTGCCAAGCCAGTGTGGAAATTCTATCTGTGCTGCAAGATGTCCAGACATATATTCACCAGGAAGCACACTGCTGAACATGGCCTGAAAAAGTGGAAAAGCGCAGGGTAGATGAACACATGGCTTCTTGACTACGTAATTGCTAACAATAATATAATTGACATGTAAAGTAAATAAAAATGTATAGTATGCAATATCTTTCTTCTTTCAACACACCGGCCGTATCCCACCGAGGCGGGGTGGCCCAAAAGGAAAAACGAAAGTTTCTCCTTTTACATTTAGTAATATATACAGGAGAAGAGGTTACTAGCCCCTTGCTCCCGGCATTTTAGTCGCCTCTTACAACACGCATGGCTTACAGAGGAAGAATTCTGTTCCACTTCCCCATGGAGGTAAGAGGAAATAAACAAGAACAAAAACTAGAAGAAAACCCAGATGGGTGTGTGTATATATATGTTTGTACATGTATGTGTAGTGTGGCCTAAGTAGAAGTAGCAAGACATACCTGAAATCTTGCATGTTTATGAGACAAAAAAAAAGACACCAGCAATCCTACTATCATGTAAAACAATTACAGGCTTCCGTTTTACACTCACTTGGCAGGTCGGTAGTACCTCCCTGGGCGGTTGCTGTCTACCAACCTACTACCTAGGAGTATACAATATATACAGTAAAAATTGATAAATAAGTTCCAGGTACGAGGGAGAAGGGAAGGACAAGACTAACAGCAGGGCAGGGAGAGGAAACAGGAAACCATCAATTACAATGAACCATGGCAAAATGAAAGCCCTGTATCTTGTTAGATATATGCTTGAAGAATGAGAAAACAAAAATTTAACAAAACTAAGTAAAATGAGAGACTTTTTGGTGAGTAGTTTACACTCATGACATTCCATAAAGAAAAAGAAAGAGAAGATGTAAACTAGAAAGAGATGTTCCCTATACAGACGAAGGCGAAGAGTCACAGAGCTGCTGAGTGGGGCCAATATATTTGATATACGAAGGGAGGCACTAGTCAATGAAATTGCAAACAGTATCGAACTTAAGTTGAAGGAATCTTATAGGAGACAAGAATCACAGGAAGAACTAAAAGCCATAAAGCAAATTAAAAAAAAAAATACTTCTCTTATGCCAAATCTAAGGGAAAAAAACATCCAGTATTGGGCCCCTGCTTAGGCGGGATGGGTCATACACAGACGACAGCCAAGAAATGAGTGAGATACTGAAGTCCCAATATGACTCACTGTTCAGCAAGCCACTGCCCACACTAAGGGTCAACAATCCAAATAAATTATTTATGAACGAAACCCAAAATTTGGTCATCCCAAAAAACTTGGATATTATTCTAACTCCACAAGACTTTGAAGAGGCAATTCATGACATGCCCATGCACTCTGCCCCAGGCCCAGACTCGTGGAACTCCGTGCTCATCAAGAATTGCAAGAAGCCCCTATCACATGCCTTCAGCATTTTATGGAGAGGGAGCATGGACACAGGGGTCATCCCACACACACTAAAAACAATAGACATAGCCCAACTCCACAAAGGTGGCAGTAAAGCAACTGCAAAGAACTACAGACCAACAGCACTAATATCCCATACCATAAAAATCTTTGAAAGGGTTCTAAGAAGCAAGATAGCCAACCACCAAGATACCCATCAATTACACAACCCAGGGCAACACGGGTTTAGAACAGGTCGCTCCTGCCTGTCCCAGAAACTGGACCACTATGACAAGGTCCTGGATGCTGTAGAAGATAAACAAAATACTGATTTAATATACACAGATTTTGCGAAAGCTTTCGACAAGTGTGACCATGGTGTAATAGCACACAAAATGCGTGATAAAGGAATAACGGGAAAAGTTGGTACGGTAGATGGATCTATAACTTCCTGACAAATAGAACACACAGAGTAATAGTAAACAGAGAAAAGTCCCAGGCAGCCACGGTAAAAAGCTCTGTCCCACAAGGCACAGTACTCCCATTTTATTCCTCATCCTCATTGCTGACATAGAAATGTAAGCCACAGTTCCTTGTCTTCCTTTGCAGATGACACCCGGATTGCCATGGCAGTGACCTCCATCGAAGACACTGTGAGACTCCAAGCGGACATCAACCAAATCTTCGAATGGGCCACTCAAATCAATACAAGTTCAATGAGGAGAAATTTCAACTACTCAGATATTGGAAACTTGAAGAAATTAAAAGTGTCAGGGTATACGACAAATTCTAACCATACAATAGAGCAGAAAAGTAATGTGAAGGACCTGGGAGTGATAATGTCAAAGGATCTCGCCTTCAAAGACCACAACAATGTATCTACCTCATCTGCTAGGAAAATGATAGGATGGATAATGAGAACCTTCAAAACTAGAGATGCCAAGCCCAGGTTGACTATCTTCAAATTGCTTGTGCTCTCTAGGCTGGAATACTGTTGTACACTAACGGCCCCTGTTACAGAGTACTATAAAAAAATATTTATATAAAATAACGCTCCATATATAATGTCATTTTCCGTATAACATAGTTCCGGGTTTGTACTGAATCCGAACACGTATTATTCCCGGCCAGTTAGAGTGGCCAGGACAGGAGCAGATGAAGTGTGTTTAGTTCAGTACCAGACAGGTGGTGACGGAGGTAAAGTCATCATGTTTGGGTGATAGTTTGAGTAGGTAATTTTGGTAAGTTTTTTAGTGTATACTATAGGTGTTTGTGTTTAAGTGCTCTTGTGTTTATTTGTAAAGCCCTAGTATGCAGGGGCCAGTGTTTTGGAGAGTATTTAATGTTTCCACTGTAGGCTATGCAGCCTGCAGAAAGGGAGGGTGTCATGGAGCCACCCTGTTCATAAATGTTCATTTATTTTGTTTAACTCATTAGTAGCAGTGAGCTAATGTGAACTGGAGTGTGCTGGTTTTTTGTAGTAGTTATAAGCTGTATATCAGTTATTAACAATATTATATATATTTTTGTATTTTTTTTTTTTAACAAGTCGGCCATCTCCCACCAAGGCAGGGTGACCCAAAAAGAAAATACTTTCATCATCATTCAACACTTTCACCTCACTCACACATAATCACTGTTTTTGCAGAGGTGCTCAGAATACAACAGTTTAGAAGCATATACGTATAAAGATACACAACATATCCCTCCAAACTGCCAATATCCCAAACCCCCTCCTTTAAAGTGCAGGCATTGTACTTCCCATTTCCAGTACTCAAGTCCGGCTATATAAAAATAACCGGTTTCCCTGAATCCCTTCACTAAATATTACCCTGCTCACACTCCAACAACTTGTCAGGTCCCAAATACCATTCGTCTCCATTCACTCCTACCTAACACACTCACGCACGCTTGCTGAAGTCCAGGTCCTTTGCCCACAAAACCTCCTTTACCCCCTCCCTCCAACCCTTTCGAGGATGACCCCTACCCCGCCTTCCTTCCCCTACAGATTTATACGCTCTCCATGTCATTCTACTTTGATCCATTCTTTCTAAATGACCAAACCACCTCAACAACCCCTCTTCAGCCCTCTAATACTTTTATTAACACCACACCTTCTCCTAATTTCCACACTCTGAATTTTCTGCATAATATTCACACCACACATTGCCCTTAGACAGAACATCTCCACTGCCTCCTTGCTGCAGCATTTACAATCCAATCTTCACACCCATATAAGAGTGTTGGTACTTTCATACTTTGATACGAATGCATGCTGGCCCAAGGTTCGCTGTGTTTTACGAGTAATTTTATAACCCCTAGACAGCAGTGTAAGCAGCCTTTAGGAGCCAGGAACATTTTATTAAAGTTACGACATCAAAGTCGTAACAGCTGGCGACATTGCAGACCTGGGGAGTGTACAAAGAACTTTCATAGCACACATAAGTACGATAAGGCACCTAAACTACTGGAACGATTGAAGGTCCTTGATCTGTATTCCCTCGAATGCAGGTGAGAGAGATACATGATAATATACACCTGGAAGGTCCTGGAGGGATTGGTACCAAACCTGCACATGAAAATAACTCTCCATGAAAGCAAAAGACTCGGCAGGAGATGCAACATTCCCCCAAAGAAAAGCAGGGGTGCCATGAGTACACCGAGAGACAACACAATAAGTGTTCAGGGCCCAAGACTGTTCAATTGCCTCCCAGCATACATAAGGGGGATTACCAATAGACCCCTGGCTGTCTTCAAGAAGGCACTGGACAGGCACCTAAAGTCAGTACCTGACCAACCGGGCAGTGGTTCGTACGTCAGCTTGTGTGCAACCAGCAGTAACAACCTGGTTGATCAGACCCTGATCCACCATGAGCCCTGGTCTCAGACCGGGCTGCAGGGGCATTGACCCCTGAAACCCTCTCCAGGTAAACTCCAGGTAATGAGCATGGAACCCATCCATATGAAACTCTTAAGAAAACCAGTTTCCTAAAGGAAAGGCAAAGAGGCCTAGGACTCAGGAAAAAGATGGCATACAAGAAAAAGAAAAAGTAGCTACTGTCAGCATGAAAAAAAAGGAAAAAACTTTTTTTTTTTTGCTGACATCATAAGGGATGACTTCGTTCTCGCATAAGCGATCCAAGGGGATGGATGGGAATAAAGTAAGCTTAGACATTATTGAAGACAATGAAGACGGAACATGGCCTTATTATAATGGAGGATCCTAAAACTACAACATGAGATACACTGGAAACCCAGGAACCATCATGATGCTAAGGAAAAAAAAAAATCACATACAAAGAGGGGGCAACAAGGCTATGCAGACCTGGAGCATGTCCTCTTTGGGTTGTTCTTTCCACCAAGATAACTTTAATGATACACTATAAAAACAAAAATACCTGAGAAACTTTATGGACACTGAAGAAATAACCAAGGGAAAACACATTGTTAGGAAGGGAAGAGGGTCAGAAGTTGTTAGCTCACTGGTAGTGCCTTTCTTTCACAACCAAAGGACCAAGGTTGAATCCTGAGGAAGCAGGAAATAGGTACTGTACCTGGGTGTTAGCCAACTCCTGTGGGTTGCATCCTGGAGGGGGAAGGGAGGGTTATATCTTAAGAGAGGGCCAGACTTTGAAATGAGATAAGGCATGATAATAGCTCTTAGCCTGTACATTCACAGGTAAATAAAAAACCCAGGTAACTTAATTTGACCTTGACTGTCACCTGAAATAACTGCTGACTTTCTTCCCTTTCATTGCTTATGTGATATTAGTCTAGAACAGAGTGAAATGATTTATCCAGTTTTATTTACAATTTATAGCTTAGTTGTGAAAGGAGAGACATAATCATAGCATACAAAATAACTCAGGGTATAGATAAGGTAGACAAGGGCAGGATCATTTCCAGGAAAGGACTTGGAACAAGTCACAAATGGAAGCTACATACTCTAGCAAGCAAATGAGACATTAAGAATCACTTCCTCAATATAAATAATAAAATAAAAGGAATGCATTAGAGTATGACACAATAGAAGCTAACTATTCAGCAATACAAGTCGAAACTTATGAGGCAGATAATAACAAATAAGTATTCATATAAGCAAGTATGTGGTGGGAATTAAAAAAAGAATTACAATCTAGGAATACAAAAAAACTGGGAAACACAATTTCATGAAATTATCCTTAAAAAAAATAAAAAATATACAAAAAACCTCTCAGCTTCCTTCTTTTCTTGCACTTCCCCAGATGCCACTAAGATGATGAATTGTACCCTATATTTGTTTTATTTTTTTTTTTTTTTTTCAACAAGTCGGTCGTCTCCCACTGCACCAAAAATGATATCTCACCTAAATGTCTATTAGTCAAAATACTGGTGAGTATATAACATATTACAAAATTTGTATCCTTACCCCAAATATTATATACATTCAGCTTAAGAGTTAAGTTTTCTATATTAGCTTTAATCTTGACAACTGAAAAATAATGGGTAATACCTTTTCAAAGTAATTATACCCATCAATTATTATATTTATTACAAAGCTCAATGAAGTGTTGGCTGCTTGCACTCTAAGTCTTAATTCAGTACCTCAGCCTCATTTACAAACATCCAGAATGGAAATGTGAGATAACTGTGCCAGAATAGATGACTATCTGAGATACTTGAACAAACATGGGACAACAGTTTAACAATGCACATGTTTTCTATGGGTTTGTCTTTTTTATGGCAAAATTTAAGTTCTTGAAATACTATGAGCTGATATTTTTCAGTGTATATAGCTGTATAGCCCTTGTGGCTTAGCGCTTCTTTTTGATTATAATAATAATAATAATCAGTGTATATATTATCATCTGACATGTACATACATGCCAGATGATAATATATACACTGATGGATGATAGTTATTGTTTGGTATAGTAAGCAATTTGGAAGGGCATCATAAAAAGATCAGGGCTAGTTCTACACGATTTCTGCATAATCTCTGGCTTAATATCACACCAATACTCTCACTTAATATTACCTGTGTAGGAAGGAGTGACCATGCATTGACAGACCTAATAGCTTTCTCAATTAAGTCTCCATCTGCCAGACTACAAGCTGTTTTGGCAAGTTGCTCCAAAGTGATTCGGCGATTACCTCTGTCAAGAGATCAAGGGCAGTAAATAAAAATGTCGAAAGGAATATGACTTTCTCACCATGTACACCAAATGCAAGTACATAATTCACACATGGTAAAGAAGAACAAGGATAAAAAGTACTTTACCTTCAAAACATTAGTAATGTGCATTCTTTCTCTAGCAACAAGATAATATACAGTAGGTCAATGATTATCCAGCCCTAAGTAGGTCATTCAAATGAGTGGACAGGAGCCCCTGATCACCCTGACAAGATTCAATTTTTTCCCCCCTGTAGTATTCTACCTTGTGTTTTAATAACTTGTTCACAACTGCTCTGCAGGCTTCTACATAATCAGACCATGAGCAAGGAGTATGCAATCTACACTGTTGATGCATCACACTCCTAAAAGGCCTATGTAACTGGGCAACAGAAGAATCATACTAAGATGCAAATCACAAATCAAGGTCATTTTATCGATCAAAGGATAGAACTTACTCATCATAGCCACAAACACCTTATCATAGATCTTTGCTAACTGGTCAACAGATAGTGCTGATGCATCCACCTTCCCCAAGGCATCTTTCACCATCACACCAGCTGGTCCAGATGAAGATTTTTCTAATTACAAAAAGACAGCATAAGTTTGCAATATGGTAGCACCAAAATGTCAAGAATAATGGTAGAAACACTACGATCAGATACAGTAATATCAAGAAGTATTACCTCAACAAATTTAATATTGCAAGATTTGACAGTAGATTGAACTAAGACCAATACAGGACCACCAAAGTGGATGGATGATAACACATTATTCTCAGAATTATTCAAATTTATTACCTCCAGGAACATGCCATTATTAAGGCTTCAGTTGTGGACAATTAATCCAGTAGTTAAAGTTGTCATACACAAAATAGCCATGTGTCTTTGCAAAGGATTGAATAAGAAAACTAAATTTGTCAGAGTGTATACTAATAACCTGACAACATAAAATGAACATATCCTTGTTTGTGAATGATACCAAAATCATGAGGAAACAAACTGCTGGAAAGAAGAGTAGGCAGTCACAAGAATACTTGGACAGACCCATTCTTGAGATTTGCATCATCTATATGAAACAGGTACATAGTCTATACTGTTGCTAGTTATGTGGAATGACCAATGAAGAAAGATTTAAAGTGTTAAACCATTTATCACTGGAGAAATAGAGAGAGAGAGGACTTGACTGTGACATACAAAGTATTCAAGGGCATAGACGAGAATAGGTTGTTTCCTGGGAATTAACACTTCGATTGTTTCAGCCATATATATACATCTTACGAGTCAGTGTTTCGGACATGTATACAGTGGACCCCCGCATACCGTTGGCATCACATAACGTTTAATCCGCACACCGCTCGCTTTAATCGCAAAAATTTTGCCTCGCATACCGCTCAAAAACCCGCTCACCGCTGTTCGTCTGAGACGCGTCCAATGTGCGCCCTCAGCCAGCCTCACATGTGCCGCCCGTGCCATTGTTTACCAGCCAGCCTCCGCGGTAACATCCAAGCATACAATCGGAACATTTCGTATTATTACATTGTTTTCAGTGCTTTATCTGGAAAATAAGTGACCATGGGCCCCAAGAAAGCTTCTAGTGCCAACCCTACAGCAATAAGGGTGAGAATTCCAATAGAGATGAAGAAAGAGATCATTGATAAGTATGAAAGTGGAGTGCGTATCGCCGACCTGGCCAGGTTGTACAAGAAACCCCAATCAACCATCGCTACTATTGTGGGCACCAGAAAGGCAATCAAGGAAGCTGTTCTTGCCAAAGGTTTAACTGTGTTTTCGAAACAAAGATCGCAAATGATGGAAGATGTTGAGAGACTCTTATTGGTGTGGATAAATGAAAAACAGCTAGCAGGAGATAGCGTCTCTCAAGCGATCATAAGCGAAAAGGCTAGGAAGTTGCATCAGGATTAATTAAAAAAATGCCTGCAACTAGTGCTGATGTGAGTGAATTTAAGGCCAGCAAAGGTTGGTTTGAGAGATTTAAGAAGCGTAGTGGCATACATAGTGTGATAAGGCATGGTGAGGCTGCCAGTTCGGACCACAAAACAGCTGAAAAATATGTGCAGGAATTCAAGAAGTACATAGACAGTGAAGGACTGAAACCTGAACAAGTGTTTAATTGTGATGAAACAGGCCTGTTTTGGAAGAAAATGCCAAGCAGGACCTACATTACTGAGGAGGAAAAGGCACTCCCAGGACATAAGCCTATGAAAGACAGGCTTACTTTGTTGATGTGTTCCAATGCTACTGGTGATTGCAAAGTGAAGCCTTTATTAGCGTATCACTCTGAAACTCCCAGACCGTTCAGGCAAAAAGAATGTCCTCAAGGAGAATTTTGTGTGTGCTGGTGGAGGGCAAACAGTAAGGCATGGGTCACTGGGGACTTTTTCTATGACTGGTTACACCATGCATTTGCCCCCAATGTGAAAGATTACCTAACTGAAAAGAAATTAGAACTTAAGTGCCTCCTGGTGTTAGACAATGCCCCTGGTCATCCTACAGACGTGGCAGAGCGACTTTATGGGGACATGAAATTCATTAAGGTGAAGTTTTTGCCTCCTAATACCACTCCTCTCCTGCAGCCCATGGACCAGCAGGTTATTGCAAACTTCAAAAAACTGTACACAAAAGCTCTGTTTGAAAGGTGCTTTGTAGTGACCTCAGAAACTAAACTGACTCTAAGAGAGTTTTGGAGAGAGCACTTTAATATCCTCAATTGTGTAAACCTTATAGGTAAGGCTTGGGAGGGAGTGACTAAGAAGACCTTGAACTCTGCTTGGAAGAAACTGTGGCCAGAATGTGTAGACAAAAGGGATTTTTGAAGGGTTTGAGGCTAACCCTGAGAGGATTATGCCAGTTGAGGAATCCATTGTGGCATGGGAAAGTCCTTGGGGTTGGAGGTTAGTGGGGAGGATGTGGAAGAGTTGGTGGAGGAAGACAATGAAGAACTAACCACTGATGAGCTGATAGATCAACTTCAACAGCAAGAGGCCAGGGCCTGAGGAAACTGGTTCAGAGGAGGGGAGAGAGAAATTGAAGAAGTTGCCTACTACAAAGATTAAGGAAATCTGTGCAAAGTGGCTTGAAGTGCAAACCTTCATGGATGAAAATCACCCTCACACAGCTATTGCAAGCCGTTTTTGGCAACCTGTACACTGACAATGTTGTGAAACACTTTAGGGAAGTCATAAAGGAACGAGAGGTACAGGCCACTATGGGGCAGATATGTTGTGCGAAAGAAGTCCAGTGACTCTGAAGCTGGTCCTAGTGGCATTAAAAGAAGAAGGGAAGTAACCCCAGAAAAGGACTCGACACCTCAAGTCTTAATGGAAGGGGATTCCCCTTCTAAACACTAACACTCTCTCTCCCCTCCTCCCATCCCATCAATCATCACCAGATCTTCAATAAAAGTAAGTGTCATGTAATTGTGCATGCCTTTTTCAGTTTGTGTGTATTAAAATTAACATTTCATGTGGTAAAAATTTTTTTTTTTTCATACTTTTGGGTGTCTTGCATGGATTAATTTGATTTCCATTATTTCTTATGGGGAAAATTCATTCGCATACCGATCATTTCGCATAGCAATGAGCCCTCTTGCACGGATTAAAATCGCTATGCGGGGGTCCACTGTATATGTACTCAATAATTCTAGCGGCTTCAAATCAAGCAGGAGAAAGCTGGTAGGCCCACATGTGAGAGAATGGGTCAGTGTGCACTGTATAAAAAAAATCCTGCAGCAAGCAGTGCATAATGAGAAAAAAAAAACTCGGTGTTTTTGGATTAAAATGCCGACTTTGAGGTGTATTTTCCTACAGTACTTATAGTTGTATTCTCGTTTTCTTAGTCTCATTTGATAGAATGGAAAATATATTACAGAAATAGAGATGATTTTGATTAGTTTCACAAGGAAAACGACCTTGAAATTGAGCTCAAAGTAGTGGAAATGTTTGATTTTTACCAATGTTCAAGAGTAAGCAAATCACACCACACATCCAATACACGTCAACTGGGGAGTCTAATATTTTTTCACTAGTGCACTGATATTATTTATACCATTTTTACAATAATGCAGTAGTCTGCATAACAGTAAATCTTCTATTTTTTGTGTGAATAAAAAATCAAAATAGAAAGCAAGAGTAATATAAGAGGGGCCTGGAGACATGACTAATGAACAGAGGATATGTTATTTTAGTGCCAAGAATGTCTGCATTGTTTATTCTGGACCCTATTTTGAAATTGGCATATTTTTTAATTTGCATGAAATTGGCCAAATTGCCAATTTCTGACCACTTTACTGGGTAGTTGAAATCAGTAAATGGGCAGTTTCTTGTACTCAAGTGATGGAAAAAAATTGGAGTTCTAAAGAAATAGCTATGAGTTTGGTCGGCTGGAACAACGGAACTGGCTGAAAATAGGGCTCAAAGTTGGCAAAATTGCTGATGCATGTATATTGCCAAGATCGCTAACTTCATGGGTGTGTAATTCTGTAAGTTTTCGATCAAATTTTGTACTTTTGGTGTCATTAGCATCGGGAAAAAATTCTCTATCATTTCATAAGAATTTTTTTTTTTTTTCAAAAAATTTTGCGACATATAATGACAGTTTCAGAAATGGGCTTGTGACAGTCACATGGTTAATAAAGAAAAAATTGGGAAAAGTTGAAAAATATGCATTATAAAGAACCACAGATATATTAAAAACTTTTTCTTCAGCAAAAGTGGCAAAGAAGTGAACTGAACTGAAATACAGTGGAAGAAGACACCATAAAGGGGTTAAAAAATATGTATGTATGAGTTTACTTAGATTGATTGGCAGAAAGAGATGAGCCAAGAGCTGATCCCCCCTCCTCCATAAATTAAGATAAACAATTACACGTTATAATAGTCAAACTTACTTTGCAATATGAGGAGATACTTTAGGATAATTTTCTTGAACAAATAGTGGTGCAATAGAATAGTCATGGAAGAACAAGGCAGATTTATCATGAATACTCATATTCTTCTGTTCAGACTCTGTAAACACTGCTTTGCACACATCCCAAGGACCCTGTAGGAAGACAAAGACATACGGATGAGAGAATATTACTTAAAAAAAAATATATACAGTGGACCCCCGGTTTACGATCAGCTCCCAATGCGACCAAATATGTAAGTGTATTTATGTAAGTGCGTTTGTATGTGTATGTTTGGGGGTCTGAAATGGACTAATCTAATTCACAATATACCTTATGGGAACAAATTCAGTCAGTACTGGCACCTGAACATACTTCTGGAATGAAATAATATTGTAAACCGGGGGTCCACTGTATATATATAGCAGATGACAGTCTTGCAGAAGAGTACAAATTCACAATGCCACCAATGAATGACTGAACAAATATAGAGGGAGAGGATGGTAAAGAGGGTTTATAAATCTGGAGTGGAAGGAAGACAGGTTATAAGTCTTCCCAGTAACATTTGAAGAAAAAAAGTGAAAATAAGGTTTTGAGTTATAGGGGCTTGAGCATCCAGCAAGCTTGTGCAAGATTGTTAGATAGAAGTGAGTGGAGACAAGTAGGTTTTGATGGACACACTATTGGAGTGTGAACAAGTTAACTTTTATGAAAGGATTAAGGAAAACCAGTTAGCCAGACTCAAGTCCTGGAGGTGGGAAGGGCAGTGCTTGCCCTCTGAAGAAGTATGTTGCAGTTGGAAGGTAATCTGTATTGTGATGTTAGCACACTTCTGGAAAGACAGCAACTGAATGGTGAATATGTTTTCTTCTTTAGGTCACCCTTCCTTGATGGAGGATGGACATTGAGGTAAAAATATATATATATATAAAAAAAAGAGGTATAACATAATACAGTGGACCCCCGCTTTACGATCACCTCCCAATGTGACCAATTATGTAAGTGTATTTATGCAAGTGCGTTTGTACGTGTATGTTTGGGGGTCTGAAATGGACTAATCTAATTCACAATATTCCTTATGGGAACAAATTCGTTCAGTACTGGCACCTGAACATACTTCTGGAATGAAATAATATCGTAAACCGGGGGTCCACTGTATTTGTGTTTTGTTTGCTTTCTTCAAGGAGAGCTGAACAGGCACCTAAAGTCAGTACCTGACCAGCCGGACTGTGGCTTGCACATCAGTTTACATGCAGCCAGCAGGAACAGCCTGGTTGATCAGGTCCTGATCCACTGTGAGGCCTGGTCACAGACCGGGCTGCAGGGGTGTCAACCCCCCGAAACCCCCTCCAGGTATACTCCAGGTATGAAATCTTACAAAACAAATACAGCCTCTTTTCACTTAACGACAGAGTTCCATTCTAAGACCATGTCGGTAAAAAAATTTGTTGCCAAGTGAGGAGCATACCATAATGGTAGTGGGTTTGTGTCAACTATTTCTGATATTGTTTTATGTTACCTTTGCACTATTTATAACATTTCTGGTATATTTTTAAATCCTTATACAGCAGTGTACTGTATATTGTAATAAACAGAAAAGAGAAAATCAGCTCTAACATACATTATTTAGGTATGCATACTGGTCAGAGAGCCCGTCGTAAGTCCGAGTTGTCAGTAAACGAGCACGTTGCTAAGTGAGGAGAGGCTGTACAGTACTTTTGATTTAATCAGGGCCTAAAATTTAATGTTTATATTGAACCTATATTCTCCATGGGGAAGTGGAAGAGAATTCTTCCTCCATAAGCCAAGCGTGTCGTAAGAGGTGACTACAATGACGGGAGCAAGGGGCTAGTAATCCCTTCTCCTGTATATATTCTTAAATGTAAAAGGAGAAACTTTCGTTTTTCCTTTTGGGTCACCCCACCTCAGTGGGATACACCCGATGTGTTAAAAGAAAGATTGAACCTATATCTCTCTCACACTTGTTTTGAGGTTTTGAACTACATGCTTACATTGTTAAGCATGTCCTTGTCCCTGTTCATGCAGAGTATAGTGATGGATAAGTAACACAACATTTGTAAAGTAACCACTGGTGGTGGTGGAAAACACAACAGGCTACTTGGATCCATACCTGTTGTAGCCACACCTTCAGCGAGTTCTGAGAGAATGTGCAGCATCACAAATTACATGAAAAATATAGAATAAAACAATTCATACTACACTCATTTACCATTTTTAAATCTTTTTTAGCTTTTTGCGCTTCATTCTTCATATCATCAACTTGCAAAGTTTGTGCATTAACAGACCACATGGATAAGTGGTGCAGAATCTGTCGAATATCTTGATTAGCTCCAATGATGATTTGATCCAGAGCATCAGGTTTGATCTTGACACCTTCACGGAAACAGATAGACATCATTGGCCCCTGTAAAAGATATCAGTATAAGCATTTCAAATTTTTTTAAAAATGTAAGTCAAAAATGAGCAATTTGCATGAACTTTCTATACCAGATGCAATCACTTTTCTTCTAAGCTGTTATGAAAACTAACCCGAATTTGCTCAATCCTTGGCTTATAAAACCTTAGATCAAAGCAATAATTTGCTAATGATCTTATTTTTGGATGATTTCGGTCATTACACATTGCAATGATGGGTACTTTTGATTTCTTCATCAGAGCAATTAGTTCTTGTACTCCTCCTCTGTCTTCATTACCAGACATTCCATCCACTTCGTCCATGACAAGAGCATGTTTGGAAGTGAGACTTGTGTCACCTGCACCTATAAAATATAACAGAGGTTAAATGTGTAATATTAAGTCCTTTTAAATGAATAAATTATCTTCTTTCTTCTATTTTATAATAAGTGTAGCTAAAATTATTCTCCAATAGAACATACAAACAGATGAGCAGTGCAGTGAACTTACTGGCCATTACTAGGCAAGGGTGGTGCCAGAATTTCTATATTGGAGGGCTTTGGGATGGCTATCTGGTTGGATAACTGGTTTTTCTGAAAGACCTCATAAATGTTGCTTAATTTTTATTTCCTTTATTTATTGTTTTTCCACTTGGACACTTTAATAATATTCCCCTTAACCCTTTCAGGGTCTGTCCCGTAGATCTACGGCTTTACGTTCAGGGTCCAAACCGTAGATCTACGCCATGAGCTCAGCTCACTATGATAAACTGTGAGTGGTACATTTGGGCCTAGATATGTGAGAATACATCTATGTCGTATGTGTGCACCACATAAAACAACATCCTGCAGCGCACTGTGTATAATGAGAGAAAAAAAACAGACCATGATTTTCAATTAAAACAGTGACTTTGCAGTGTTTTTTCATATGTTTTTTATAGTTATATTTGTGATTTCTTGGTCTCAATTGATAGAATGGAAGACATATTACAGAAATAGAGATGATTTTGATTGGTTTTAGCACTGAAAATGGCTTGAAACTGAGCTCAAAGTAGCAGAAATGTTAAATTTTTGCCGATGTTCAAGAGTAAACAAACAACGTCACACGTCTAATACACGCCAGCTGGTGGGTCTAATATACATTCAAAAATGTGGTGATGATATTTATACAATTATTACAATATTGCATAACAGTAAATCTTCTATTTTTTGGTGTGAATAAAAATTCATTATGTGAATAAAAAATCAAAATGGAATTTATTTGTAAAGCCTCAAAACGTAACTAATGAACAGAGGAAATGTTAGTTTAGTGCCAGGAATACCTACATTGTTTATTCTGGACCCTATTTTGAAATTGGAATATTTTGAACTTTGTGTTAAATTGGCCAAATTACCAATTTCTGATCACTTTATTTTGTAGCTGAAACAGTTGACTTGGCAATTTCTTGTGCTCAATCAATAGAATAGAAGCAATACTAGTGAAATAGCTAAGAATTTGGTCGACTGGAATAATATAATTAGCCTAAAATGGGAGTCAAAGTCGGCAAAATCGCCGATTCGTAAATATCGCTGACACATCAAAATTCGCGAAAGCATAATTTCATCAATTTTCCATCAAATTTCGTACTTTTTGTTTTATTACCTTCACAAGAAGATTCTCTATTATTTCATAAGAAAAAATAAATTTTTTTTTTTTTTTTAAATTCTTGGACACTGGGGCACCACTTCAGTTTTTGGCCTTGGACCCTGAACGGGTTAATTCTTCAGCATTCCAAATGATGTAAATTCAGTGCTTTCAGCTATTTTCATGGGAAAGGATTTTTTCTTTCTCTTTATATTTCCCAGTTCATTTATCTCCATTCTGCATGATGAATGTCTCAGATCAGCTAGGTACTACAGTAAAAGATAATACTATTTATGTTCAATGTTTTATATCATCTAGGTGCTACACTAAAACACACAATTACTCTTGCTACATTCAATATCTCACTAAAAAATACAAAAAGAAAAGCAATACAGTACAAACTTACCTGACATATATCCTGCAAGGCTCTTGTTAGAAAGCAGTTCTGACACAAGAGTATCTAAAGTTTTCTTAGAACGTGCATCTGATGCATTCAGTTCCACAACATCAAAGCCCAGCTCTTTACACACTAAGTGAGCAGCTGTTGTTTTTCCTGAATAAAAAAGGAAACTACAATTGAAATAAGATATTTAACTTCCTTTGCATGAGTTCCAATGGTATTTTTATACTAAATCACAAGAGACAGAGTCAACTTCCTAATGGAGTGAGCCAACAGCTTAATTCTATTGTTTTAAGAAGTTGGTTGACATCTACAAATCTTTTTCATTTTCTTTACCCACTAAAGAAAATATTACAATACATTTCTTTCAGTATACAGTATTGTACTACAGTGGAACCTTTGGTCATGACCATAATTCATTCCAAAACTCTGGTTGTGACCCGAACCTAATCTCCCCATTGGATTGTATGAAAATACGATTAATCCATTCCAGATCCCTACGAACTGTATGTAAATGTTGTTTTTTTAAGATTTTTAAGCACAAAAATAGCTAATTATACTATAGAATGCACAGTGAAATAGTAAACTAAATGTAAAAACCTTGAATAACACTGAAACAACCTTGAACAACAGAGAAAACTAACATTGCACGAGTCCATTCCAGACCCCTACGAACCATTCACTGTAAACACTATTTTTTTTTTTTTTAAGTTTTAACCCTTAAATGGTCCAAGCGTATATATATGTTTTCTTTGTCATTCATTCAACATTGCCACAATAAGCCTGAGTCACCTAGACATGAGATAATGGGTGTGCGCACTCACTGTGTGCCATATTAAAATAATTGGGGGATGCCTGGGAACCATATGCTCTTTTTTTCCTTTTAAAAGAAAGGATTTTTTTTCCTCAAAAAATTTGGGGTGCTACGCAAGTGAACGTATATATACGTTTGGACCGTTTAAGTGTTAAGCATAGAAAAAATAATCAAAGTTTGAAAAATCCTTAATTATACAAAATAATGCACAGTTTAATAGAGAAAAAAAATTTAAATAACAAAGTCAGGTGTACACAAACAACAGGAAGTGGGGAAACTTATCACGTACAAAAAAATGGTGCGGAATGTGAAAATTGGCGCAGCTGTGTTTGTTCAGCATCCGATTATGTGTTCGTTGCACATGCAAAAAAAATCAATCTGTTCGTGTTCGGAAGCGTTCATGACCAGAGGTTCCACTGTATATGATTTTTCTTGTTAAGAGTTTTAAAAATATAATATTACTGTAGTTGTGTATACATGAAGTGCAGTACAGTATATTTTTAACATTAAAATCTACATGGGCCATGGTTTTTTCTACCAGTCAGTAGTCAATTGTAATTCAACTTGGCTGGGATTAAGGCTGAAATAATGTCTGATATGAGCACAACCTTTGAAGAGAAGTCCCATGTTTTACATGGAAATAACTGTTTTATAATAAAAACAAGGAGGATAAGATATACAGTACTATCCTGAGAAGATATATTGGTGTATTATATCTAAAATTAATGTGAAAATGCAATCTAGAAAGTGATACTGCTTTACTCCTTGCATGGTGCAAACAACCCTGAGTGAAGTGCATGTGGGTGAAGGACATCAAGGAAATAGTGAGGCAAATGGAGTGCTGTTGGCTAGAGAAAAACTAACATGGCATGTGCCACTGTCAACCCCAGTACCCTTACATCTGAGTTGCAACTTACCAACACCAGGAGGCCCAGATAGTAATGCAGCCTTATAGAATGCTCCATTGTCATCTTTTGCCCATGGACCTGAAGCATGAAAAATTACACAAAATTATTTAATTAATTTTCACCTGTAAATACATATAGTCTCAAATAAAGAAGGGAACTGTAATAATGTTTATGGCCTGAGTGAGAGTAGTGCAACTGACCTGGGCTTGGAACACATCTATTATTATATTCATGAGGGAAGTGCTAAATTTCAAAGGTCATACAGTGCCAGGGAAAATGGGGCACAATCATATTTAAGAAAGAGCAGGTTCAATTCCTTGGAACAATAGCCCCTCACTGGCATCAAAGAATCTGCCTTGAGAGGAATATGCATTTACAACATAAACTAAGAGACAACTATAATAGTTTGTGTGTAACTGCTTTTACTAACCAATCAATATATTCATTAGGTTTGGTATTACCAAGTGAAGTACTTTTCATTTACATATACAGTGATACCTCACATATCTGGCCTGCCATTATCTGAACAGGCCCTGGGAAAGGGCAAAATTCTAAAATTACAGTGGACCCCCGCTTAACGATCACCTCCAAATGCGACCAATTATGTAAGTGTATTTATGTAAGTGCGTTTGTACGTGTATGTTTGGGGGTCTGAAATGGACTAATCTACTTCACAATATTCCTTATGGGAAAAAATTCGGTCAGTACTGGCACCTGAACATACTACTGGAATGAAAAAAGTTCGTTAACCGGGGGTCCACTGTATTACCAAAACATCTGAACAGCCGTTTGGATACGGCAAAAGGATGAATCAAACTTGGCGTGCACTTTAGCGTACCGGTTGGCCACTAGGCCACTTTGCCTTCCTTTTAACATTATTACAGCTGTGTTTTGTCCAAGCTATCTTGTGTATGGCACCAAAAGAGGACCAGGAATGTGCTGACTCTAGAAAAAAAAAAAAAAAAGGGAAATATTGTCACACGTGGATGCAGGTTGGTCCAAGGCTGGGGAAAAAGCTAGAGAAGACGACGTGCAGGACTGGCTAGTGTGCGATGAAGATGACCCTGGTGTACAGAGATTGCAGAATCAGCATTGCACCCGCAACATTCCGAAACTGACGATGACGACGAAGACCTAATGCCTCCAAGACCAAAAACTTCAGCAGCAAGGGCATGTGTTGAAACACTTTTGGAGTATTTGGAGCATCCACTGTCCACAGCCTATTTGAAAAGTTATGGTCCTGTGGTTTATGAAATCCAGGAGGCTGTTATTTGAGCCCAGAGTGTCTGGTCCTTCTGCCAGACACTGGAATCGTTTTTCAAACCTACAACACTGTCGCCAATGGTGATATGACAGGGTATGGATGGCGATATGATGGTACAGATACACATTTGCCCCCCCCCCCCTCACATATCCAGAAACTCCGTGT